TTTATACAACATGTACTAACAAGATTAATGTAGACATCTATCAGTAGATCATAAATCATAGGTAGAAAACCTGCGTTTAATATTGTTCAGATAGATGGGTGTTATTGTCCCCATAATGATTATCTTTGGATATTGTCTTTTATTGATTTTGAGTTTTTTTAATTGTTTAAGCTGCCAATGAATGTAAATTCCTAATCCATGTTCTATACAAAGAAACAGTGTAAATTCATTCCCATAAATTAGGTTTGATACAATCTATGAGAGAACAACTTATCTGTCAAGGTGTGAATAATGTGTATAATTGTTAATTGCACCAAATCTGACACACGTGGCTGCACCATGGTCAAATGTACAAGCGTAGCCATGAGTATGTAAAATCGAAACTCAGGTACTGATTTCATTTAAGCGAAGCCATGAGTGTGCAAAGTCGGTACTCAGGTACTGATTTCGTTCAAGCGTAGCCATGAGTGTACATAAAAAATAAGCAATTCCAGATGTACTGACTGATGCACAAGAAACCTATTTACATCACGAAATCCGATAAGGCAATACAGGTTTTTAGTCTTAAGGGCCCTCGCAAGCACATCAAACTATTTTTTAAAGATCCCGATTAAGGACATTAATTTTTTTTTTTTTTTTTTTTTTTTTGTGAAAGGTTACAGTTTTTCCAAATAGAATCTTTTAAATTTTAATGATGTAAATGGACAATTTATTACAACATTGAATTTTTTCAGCGCCAATCCTTCTACAGATAATATTATTTTAAAAAAAATTGAATTAAACAAAAAGTTTTCTATACTTATCTATTTCTATTTCTAAGTCTAGTTCTTCTTCTACATCTACTTCTAGTTGCTCTTCTACCCCTTCTAGCCGCCCCACGTCTACTTCTACGTCTCATCAATTCCTCAAAAATGGTAATCCTTCTGCTACTACCGCCTACATCAGGTGCGTCTTCATCTTCAGGAACAGCTGCACTATGATCTTGAAGGTGAACAGTGTCGGTAAACCCGGTATCACCAAGGTCGATACACATATTGTGTAAAATACAACATCCGGTAATCACCTCGTTGATCTTCAACTGGTCCAACATGTAAATGTACTTGCCAGTAAATCTCCAACGAGCCACCAACACACCAAAGGCTCTTTCGATCGCCATTCTTGTAGATGAATGTACACGATTGAATGTACGCTTGCGACTGTCTAACACGCATTGACTCTCAGGAAATGGTGTGATCAAGTTGGGTCCCAAAAGATAGGCAGAGTCACCGATCATGAACGTGTTGTCAGGAAAGTGAATGTCTGGGTGGCGAAGAATTTCACTCGCTATATCACTTGATCGGAAAGCAGCAGCATCATGCGTTCTTCCTGAAGTAAATATTGTTGTGTTAGCTTTTATATTGTTTCATCGTAGATCATTTTACTACAATACCTGAGTCACCCACTTTGATGTACGTGAATCGTAATGTAGAATCGCATACGGCAGTAAGCTTCACGGAATAGTTGTTCTTTCTATCCCTGAACATAGCACCCACGGTTGGAGGAGAATGTTGGTAAATAATAAAGTTCTTACCATCCACAGCACCAATTACACCATTCAATCTATCTCTAGTGTTACTCCCAAAACCGACAGCGATCGCATTGGATCTGACAGGATCTGATGGCCAAGTCAAGAAATGACCAAGCTGATCCTTAATTGCTTTGAGCGTTCTTATGGTGAAGTTGTTGTAACTACCTGATGAAACACCCAAAAGCATATACGCTTGACGATATCCGATATGGCAATTATCCAACCAAAATAAAGGTGTTGCTATCTGGATATAAATTGGGATAGTATTGGGAGCAATAAGATTAAACTCTTCATGTGCCGAAAGCTCGTTCACCATATACTCAAAAGCACGCTTACCCGGACGATAGTTGGCGCGGTAACTACTGACCTGGTTTTCGTCATTGTCATTGAGAAAGGGGTGTTCCAATCTTCAAAAGTGGTATCGACGCGATTCACGTCTACCATCAGCACTGACTACTGTTCTTGTTCTTTCGACGTGTTCGCCCATCATCAAAATGGGAAGATTGTTAATAGAGACTCCATATTGATTGCGGTGGTTGCTGGTAATAATATTATATTGTAAGCGTTCTGCTTGGTAAAGTTGTCTACTGGAATGGAGAGTTGTCATATTTTCTACGAGGCGTTGTCTAGTAGAATTAAAAATAACCATTCTATCTTCTTCGACAGAATCAGATTCTTCGTAGATTCGAACTAGAAGGAGCTGCAACTGAGACATGACAAACGCGATTTGTTGAGGGGTCATCTATCTTAGAATGGCATTTTTATCTTTTTTTATAAAAAAAAAAGAAGAAAAAAAAATGGATGAAGGGAAAGAAAAAGAACAGATATTTTAGTAATCTGCCAAAACTTTATTATTAATCATTCAAATTGGGTCATTTAAAAAGCAACGTCATGGATTTCAGAAAAAGATTTCTTTTGGAAATCTGAAGTAACCTTTCACAAAAAAAAAAATATTTAATGTCCTTAATCGGGATCTTTAAAAAATAGTTTGATGTGCTTGCGAGGGCCCTTAAAAGGTTAATAACTCCTAATAATGTTTGGAAGAGGGAGCTGATGTACGGAGTTGTACAAGACTCTCACGACTTGCGAGTTAATCTGTTTAACAGCATGCTTGTGTTCATTACATTTGTGAAACAAGCGGCGAAAATTGACAGTACTTTATGCACTAAGAATCTTCAAGTATACCGGAAAAAAATTGAGGGTTTACTACATCACCTATTTAATCATTTGATTGCATTTGCTAACCCAGTAACTACCCAAATCGCGAGAAAATACTAAATATAATAAATATTGTAACCAAAACTTATTATAAAAGAGGTAAATTTCTTTCTGTAGAAACATATCTTCTTTTCAATTTATATATTTATCAAAATGCTCAAGGGAACTATTATCTTGGTCTTAGCCTATGTCGCTACCGTCTACTGTGCCGCTACCCCTCAAGCTGAAACCGAGGTTTTCGAAACTGGGCCATGTGGAAACATGCACGGTGGGCACAATCTCTGTTAAGCAGATGCTAAATGGAAGATAATGGTCAAATATAACAGAATATTGTCTTATAGCTAGCACGAAGACTAGCTGGTGATAACTGATGAACAATCATAAATGCCCCTCTCTAATCATTTGTTAAAACTCGATAATAAATATTTCTCTTATTTCCTGTAAACTATACATCTATCAGTACCTCTCGTGAAAGACGCACATTTACGGATTCATCTTATGAGCCTCTTTCTAGAAATATAGTCTTTGTCTTTGTAAATTTTAAAGTTATAATAATTAGAAGTTATCAGATACAACCTATAAAAAGCTCTTTCTTTTTCTTTTCTTTTTTGTTGAATCATGCGGTAACCAAATTTACTATAGATATATATATACTCCTAACTAGTTCTAAAAAAAAGACATATATTAATAGTATTCTACTCTGGCATATAGAGATTATAGCGGTATATTTAAATGATTGTTAGTGACAAAGATAAACCACTTTACGACATAATGCCGCGAATAGTCGGTGGGAGTTTTTTTTTTTTTTTTTTTTTTTTTTTTTTTTTTTTTTTTGCTCTCATTATCCTGTCTTACTGCTAAAATTATCCAACACTATTCCACGCTACAAAGTATGCATAATCAGGTAACACGCTCTGCAACCGTGCCACTTGAAATTTTATTTTATTGGTCTACACAAAATGGCTGTATAACTCTCAAGAAAAGATTACCGCTGCTTTTGTCTACGTACTTCCTTTCATGAAGATTGTTATTTATAACTGACATTTGCTTTCTAATTCTTTAAACACATTGGGTATGAGATTTTATGGATAAAATGAAAGTCGGTCCTATTCCTCTTGCTGTAGTTGCATAATACATCGTGTAGATGTTTAGACCGCCTTTTTGTGTTTCTGAGTACACAAGTATGATGTACAAAATCTCCATAAATAAGCAATCGTTTTATTAAAGTCTAATATAAGAGTCGTGCATGATCAACGCGTGCCTGAGTAACCATTTTATCTTTATAGCATGATTTAAGTTTACCTCGATCAATATTCTAAGATGTTCTCCTAACAGTCAAATTATCGGACATTTTTCTGACAAAACCCGTACCATGGTACAAGTGTCACCTTCTACTATTTGCTTAAAATGGTATAATAATTCGTATTTGGCGTAATAAATACATGGTGAAACCCGCCTCGATTATAAAACTGCGTATAGTAAAAAAACACCGAATTTGTTATCTACTATTTTCTGTGATAATTTTTTTTTCCTTCATTCGAATTGATTTTGAGGGGCCAAATCTCACCTGAAATGATTATTCTCTACACAAATTCGCTGTTCGTTTATAATGAGCCTAAAAAAGATTCGAGGAAATTATTACCAAGATCAATAATGATCTTTTGATTGTACGAATGGATAAAAAAACAATTATCAATTATTCCTAAGCTTAAGAAAAGTGGATTACTCTCAAACATACTATTTCTTAAGAACAATACTTATGATAGCTATGGGCCGGGATCTAACTGATATCAAATTTATAAATGGATACAGTGTTTGGCGTTTGAAATGCAAGATTTTCAAAATAGAAATCAAGGTTTTTTTTCAGCCAATCAAGATGTTTTCATTCATTTATTCATTCAAAAAAAAAAAATGCGGCCTTAGTCTACTTCAATTGACATCAATACCATTGATACATGCTGTTACTCAAATGCTGATAGACAAGTAACAAGTTCCGAATTGCTTTTATTTAAGCTTGGGCGGGATTTAGAACCTCTCTGTAGTGATTGCAGCTAGAATAAAAGAGGGGTTCTAGAATCCTCTAATTATCAGAATAAATTTTCACACAAATAAGCATGTTACATAATAATCATAAGACTTGTAAACAAAGAGTGATATAAATACTCGTATCAGACTTAGAGGATTCTCCTTAGTTTTTTTTTTCTTTTTATAAGAATATTGGAGTAAAACAGATCTTAGTTTTGAAAACCCTATTTACAACACTCTCTTCTATTATGCGTAAAGGCTCAAACAAATGGATAATTAGATAGACAATTGAGCTATTCTGACATAAGCCAACTCTTGTTTATAAATTTATAATTAAGACTCGTTTGCGTGATTTTCTGATTAAAGAAACAATTAAATCATCCTGACGTATACGGGCGCTTTTTTTTCGGTCACAAATAACACCCATTCAAAGACTTTTTCCGTCCGTTCTTCTCTTTCTTTTTATGTAGATTTTTTATAACACTGTCTTTTCATAGAGAAGTAATGGGTATTGTGAAAAGGTTAGTTATTGATAACTTTTGTTTTTAAAAACGCCCTTTTTTTTAAAACATGTATATATTTATATTTCCCTTTTTTATTATCACGCCTAAGGTTAGTCTTCACAATACAATCAAGACCTCCCCTTAACCGGTTGTAAGCATTGGGGGGGGGGGGAATTGAGTGGGTCGTCGTTAGCACAAGGTTTGATGATCAAATATGTGTAAGAAAAAGATCGCGTCTCTAAAAAAACGTAGAAAACTCTAGAAAAAGATATAGGTATAGACATTGCCTGTCCAACACCGTAAAAGCACGCATTGAGAAGCTGAAAAAGTATATCAGCCAATGTAGCAGAAAGTGGTCCCGCCAAAAAACTCATCCTTAAAAATATTCTGGAGTTGATAACTGTTTTGATTTTCTTGGCTTTTGTACTAGCATTTTTTTCTTATCTCAAAGGTTTCTGAAACAAACACAACCACAGATATACAAATAAAATTGACGAATGAGTTCTTGCAAAATACTCAAGACACACAAGATAATCAAGTCACACAAGCTAAAAGAAAGTCGCCCAAGGAAAGCACAACTTTTCAAAGCTTCGATTTGTCTACAGTATAAAGGAAGATGAAAGAGCTATCCTTAACAAAAATGGGGAATCCAAAGACATCCATGAGCTATCTGAATCCATCAAAGATGTTTCTGTGGCAGAGGATACTAAGGAAACTACGTTTATCTCCCTTGGGCACAGAAATTGTAAGTGTTTAACGACAACTACTTAAAAACATTCGTTTAACTCTGATTGTTGATATTAGGATCTTACTTTGGCGTACCAAACAACTCGAAAAATACCCACAATGAAGATTGGTTTTGAATCAATGTATATGGGGACCTATACGACAATCTATTTAATTTGCAGGAGAAGAGACAGCATTTACGATCAACCAGCATCACTTGACTCACATTACCGAAATGATTAGTCAACTTGGAACGCTTCGCTGCTTAAGCGCACGATTCTAAGAAAAATGATCGGTATTGTGAAATCAAGACCAAAGCCTGTTGAGAATGCCTATCACTCTCTTGCTTGTCGAGCTTGGGGTGTTGAAGAATTGCAAGTGAACCAAAAAGAAGGTATAATTATAAATGAGCTTTTTACAACTTCACCACAAAAAGAAGTGAAAGCAATGATGTATAAATTACCATATCTTTCGAATCGGAATTTTGCAACTTGCTCCGTTCCTCTTACGATGCAAGTACTATATCTTAAGAGAAAAGATCTTTTATGAAAGATGAATTACAAATTGTTTTTTATAAATAGTAAGTTTACTTGAATAAATGCATTTAATCATGCATAGTAGTAGTTAACAGTAATTTTTCTTTATTCTAGTGCCGAAAGCAATGTTCTGGATTTTAGAACTGGACCATCAGGCGGTAGGTTAATTATAGTCTCAAAGCTCAAACGGATATTAATATGAGTAATCATTTATTTTGTACGTAGTTCTGAGTGCCACAGTTTTGCTTGGAAGCGCATCAAAGAATTGAGCGACAAAAATATCAAACTTGATTTTATTTTATCGTTCAATTCAAACAATGGGCTGGACGAGATTTTTTTCACCCGAAGACAAAAGCAGTAATAGTACGAGCAAGAAAGAACAAAGAAAAAGTGATTTTGTCCGCGTCAAAATGCTCAAGTACTGGGCTACCGTTCTCCCATACAAAGAATGTCTAAATTATCTTGAATGTTGCTCATCCCATCTTTCGGGCCTGAAATTACAAATAATGTGTACAAAATTTATAACGATATCACCATACACTATTTGAAAAGAGAAGTTCGTCTTCCTAATAACAGCAACAACAACTCAAGCCTTTCTGTGTATCTCTCAACTATACTTTCATTGATGGTAAGTCATAGTATCTGTGTTAACCAGTTTGCTTCACTAACAAATTTTAAAATTCAAGGGTACCATACAACTATAAACCATAAGAAAGCTCAAGCCATACTCGAGATCTATGAACCCGACAGATTAATGAGAATCAAAAACAATCAATAATAATATAATTCTCAATATATAATCTGTAGCAAGATTATACTGGTGATGTGAGAGTGCCACTCTAATATTATAATTCAACCATATTAAAGGTCATTCTAAATACGACCTTTATTGGAGGAAATACGAGACAAAGCGCCGCATACTGGAGAAATTTCAGGTCAAATGAAAGAAATTGAAGAGTCTGAACCAGGAAAATTTCATGGAGAGTGTTTGGGAGGTTCTGGCCTTTTAAATTAGGTATCAGTCGTCACATGTTGTGGAATAAGGTTGTTTGGAACCAAATTTTAGTAGAAACTCTTTCGGACATAATTCTGAAATGTTTTTCGTTAATTGATAAACAAAGAGATCTTCTGGATAATGTAAATTTTTAACATGTGATGATGCCTTTACAAACTCTTTAGCTTATTATGCTATCCTTATCAGAGCTTTCTTTGTGATCTAAACTTTTTAGATAATTTGGATTCTACTAACTCGGTTGATATGCTCTCTATCTAAAAAGGTTGACAGATTATTATTTTTTAAGTATTAATAAATCGTGCGACATTTTAATACTTTTAATGATATCCATCAAACCCGGCTATAATAATGAAAATAACTCGGTTCTTAATGAATAGAAATTCATCATAATTCAGCTCTCAGTAACAATGAACTATGCTGCTAATTATCCATATATTAAGATAAAAAACAGATATTTGATAATAATTACGGCTTTTTCACAATCGAATGACTAAAAGTCTCATTATTAACAAGAAATCAGTCAGTTCTCACTCTGAACATATACTGAGCTACAAAAACAAGGTATCTAGAACACAGAATAGTCATTATACTTAACTCTAATAAGTTTTATTATAATAAGGTTATACTTTCTTCCCCTTTTTTACTGATGGCTGTAAGGTCGACGGTCGGTGTTCATGTTGTACGAGCTGTTAGCGAGTATACAAGATGTCTTGTTCTCAAAGCTTATGGTTTTGTAAACCACTATTCTATGTCTCTCGAACATCACGAAACGCCCGTTAATAATATTTCTGTTATTGGTGCAGCCATCGAATCATCGAGATCAAGAATTCTTTTGGATAAACCTGACATTCTCTTCAAGCTCGCTACAGCTGTCAAACATGCTAAGCTCACTATAGATGACAAGAAATTTTCTGGTAAGTAACACTAAACATTGTTACTTTTTTATATATATAGAAACTAACTGTTTTGAGCATCTTAGCCTTATTTGTAATTATGTTTTGTGTCTTTAACATATATTTGCTTTGCTATGCATTAGCAAGTATTTATAATAACTGCATGGTTTCTCGCATTCGCGAAACGAAAAATGAAAGAAATTGGGATCTATACAATTACAGTGTGATGGATGTATTTAATACAATAAGCCAGACCTCGATTGAGAACAATGAAATTCCACTTTTCTCTAACGATGAATGGATTGATACTGAAATAAACCCAAGTGATGAAAATGCCAGGGACGCAACAAATAAATACAAAGAACCTGTGGATTATGATCATGAGTATCGTGATAAAGACCAAGATGACTACAATGAACAGTAGATTTAATCCGATGCGTTAATAAAAAAAAGGAGGACATCTTAAGTTTCATTTTAATAATAAAAAGTAAAGCGGTCAGAGTCTGGACCCAAATATTATTGTGTCATTCATTGATTTGAGAACACAAAGTGGATATGTCGTAATGCCACAATGGGACAGATATAAAGAGGCTTAAACAATGACATAATGAACAGGAATATGGAAAAGAGGGAGGCATACAAAATTTAAATTCTGTATTTAGTATTAAGCAGAAAATAATGCGAGATCCATTTCAAATAAGCGGCCGTTACAATTATTTTCAAAAAAAAAGAAACCCAGCATGCGCACGAGCCAACATCAGTTTTGTCACTTGTGTCATTAAGAATGTCGGGATTTATTAGTTCGATAAAGAACAAAAACAAAAAAAGGTGTGGGGGGTATTTAATTCTTTTGGAAGAATTGGTACATAATTTTACGAACAAATGAAGATAGAACGTCGGCTTCTTCTTGATAAAATGACATGATGATACCCATAGCAGCACTTGTCATCAAAACTTCAAAATGCTTTATCTTGAAAATCCAATGATGAGAATAAGCAATTTGATAAAAACTGGTAAGGGCTTTAGGTAAAACGTAAAGAGCCAATTCACTACGTCTCTTCTTGTCTTCAAGGAAAATAGAGGGGTAAGCACAGAAGAAACCGGCAAGGTAATAGATATATTTGGAATTGAAGCTTCCAACAAGACCCCTCTTGTACAACTGACGATGCATACAAATATAGTATTGATATAACGTAACAAATGTAGCTAAAAAGGCGCCGGATTTCATGGTTGCAATCGTGGTTTTAGACAACATGTTGACGGGACTAAATAAATTAATTTTTTTGTTTTCGCATAAATGACAATGCCACTATCACTTACTCTTTTTTAAAATGTTGTGTACGAAGTAATAACATGGGTACAAAATGAAGTGTGCCGTAAACTGGCAAGAAGCTCTTGAAAACATTGGTAAAACGATCAAAGACTGTAGCATAACAGCCATCAACCCAAGGATGAAGTATTTCACTGTAAAGATGTCAATATAAAAAAAAAAACGGCAGGGATATAACTGACAGATCTGCCTTACCAAGTAACTATATCTGATTCACTTGGCAATTGATGGACAAAGTCTAATGCATGCTGAGTAGGACGCAGTTTTTTGACAACGGAAATGGCATCTGCTGCTTTAATGGGTGCACCTCTGACGTTCAACGCATTGAGTTCCAATGCACCCTTTGGACATCTTGCAGCCTTTAACATAAATGCATAAAAATCGGGTGGTAAGGTGTCTGGTCTCATTGTATAAGCGTACAAAACTTGACCACAGGTCAACGCGAATAATAAGGCATCGCCATGTTTAAAATAGAAAATGTCTCGAGCCTTTCCGGCGTTATAAATGGCCTGCAAAGCTCTGTAATAATAATGATAAATATTAATTGGTAATTTTGGTGTCATTCTAATTCTAACTGTCAACTTACCTCACCAACATTTGCTGTGCAATATCAATACGTCTTTCCTTTTTTTCGAATAAAATACTCAAGCCGGCAACGGCACCACCGACTAACCCGTTTAATCGATCGTCTTTGCCGCGATATAAGCGCATACCGTTGTTGACAGATTTCCATAGTAATGCAAATGAACTGAACATGGCACCAAATCTGAGAGCGTCGATATTTTTGAAAGAAGCATCCAATATATTCGCTAATGGTGCTCTATGATTTTTTTTTAATATCATGCAGTAACCCAAAGTTTATAAAAAAGAAAAACATACTTTCCCCGCACTACTCTGATCAAGTATAAACAAAAATTGACAGAACCTCGTACACCGAAAGCTAAAACAAATGCTCCTATAGTGGTTTTAAAACAATAGTATGTAAGACAAAAATGATTGATGGTAAATATAGAAATCCTTACTAACGGCGCCTTTAATTGCATGTTGTATCACCTCCTTTGGCGTATTTGGCCTTGGCCAATCTTTGGTGTCGACACGTTCAGAAGGATTTCTTTTTAACTTTTCTACCAATCTTTGATAAGATTCGGTTCTTTGAAGTCTTTCATTCAAGTCGAACTTCATCTTTTGCACGGGACGTGTAAAGAAAATTTAATAACAAAGAAAAGGAAGGATGGGAAAAAAAAAGATTGTTTGATCCATTCAGACTGTAATAAGCCCTTGTTGGGGACTTGTGACGTTCATTTGCCCCAGGGTGATGATATCCTTCACGTGCTTTCATTGACTGTGTGCTACTGCTGCTAAAAAAGAAAAAGCACACACTCCATCAATGAAGAACATTGTTCATGCTTGAATGAAAAATAAAAAAAATAGAGGCTATTCAAAGACACATGAAAGCTCGTTTACTGTTATTTGTTTCATGTACAAAAAAAAAAAACGTATGATTTGTATGGATCTGTGAGAAATAAGCGCACGAATGAGCTAAATAATCCGATTTGATATTATGCAAAATTAAAACCTTTTAGGTTAACCCCTTCTTTTTTTTTTTTTACTTGCCTTCAACATTTTAGGAGATCTGTTTCCACATTTTATTATTTTTAAGGAATTCGAAAAGAACAGCAGACAATTTCCACCTTTGTTAACAAGATTAAGATCGCAATGTCTTCACATACATTTCCGAAAAAAAAAAAAAAAAAGAAAAGAAAAAAAAAGACTGTTTACGTCAGTCATGATAAATTAATCTCATTGATCGTACCTTGCCTAAATCCGACTCCTTTTCAAGTTAGTTAATATAATTTGAGTATACTTTATTTCTTTTTATTCTTGCATAAACGTATACCATCTGTCTGGTGCATGACACCTGGACCAAATAGAGCTCTATGGGAACGTCAGTTGACGAACTTCGTAAGCAAATTTCTAGCGAATCTTTGGATAGACAATAAAAGCATGTGGTGTACCATGTATTTCCTTAATAAATCACAAAAGTGTGAATGCCTTCTGGAGATTAGCGAAAAAAAAAATAGAGGGTCACAATTACGCATTGATTATTAACTCTATTTGCTTAAGGTATCAATCGTATTAGCTGATGAGTTATAAGGTACCTTATGTCAACGAAGACAAATTTGTAGTAATTTACGTAAATTCGAACAATCTATTACATAAACGATTTTACAAATTCATGGAACTTATTAACACAATTAGTCGACTTTAGGGGGTGGAGGATAGGGTCTTCCTTAACAAGTAATGATTGTCAATTTCATTATAGAGAAAATTTTAGTATATACCAGGGAATCTAAGATACTTGGTCAGTGATAACTACGCATTATATATACACATACACATATCTGCTCCATGGTAACTATTAGTTATTTCACATTATGATCAATCCTTCCACTATTGTAATAGAACGGTATAAATATTTTACCGGATAAAGCCCCATCTCAGTCAATGATGTTTACCCGGTAGTCTGGTATCCCTGACTACTGAAACAAAAGTTGACAGATCTAATTATTATTTTCCTACATCAATAATGCGCAGTTTCATCTATGTAGGAAAGTTCAGGTCGGACGGGTAATGTTCACTAAGATTATCATTTTTTTTTAAAAAAATAAGTAATTCACTTTCGTGAACCAGTTGTTTAAACAAAAATACAATCATCATTCCGGAGCAATATCGGCGAGTTAGTGTGACATACTCGAATTAGAGATGCGCCTCAGCAAGACAACTCCGCGACTGAAGTTGATATTGCAAATGATGCAAATGATGAATAAATAATCATTTATCAAGCTGTGTTAGTGACCAAGATGTTATTAGACGTCAGTGGGATTTTTACAAAATACCTGAATGGTTCCCAGAAATTTTGATTACCTGGGGTAAAGCTGTTAATCAAGCAAAATATTAATGATGTTGTATGTTATCTGAACAAAGCACGACTAGATAATGGATGGCAGGATAATGACGTTCAAAAATACTTTCTCAAGTAAAGCTGGCATATTATGTCATGCTTAATTATAAGATAATGCAAATAAGTAGGATTCGATATAACACAAACTGACGTTGTTAATTTAAAATTATTGCCGGAGAAGGCTGTAATATAATGCCAATAAATAAGGTGACAGATACTTTCCCGTTTCTGCAGCATGCCTTCGGGTCTGTTTAGTTGATGCATTTTATTCACAAAAGATACAATTATCGTGCTTAAAAAGAAGGTTATTTGTTATTAAAAAAAAAAGTGTGGCTCTGAGAATATCCGTCACATTATTTGAGCTTGTTTCACCAATAATTTTGTAAATGAAGGGATTAATTTAAACAGAGATTACTCTCTCAATGTTATTTGTTTCATGTCTGAAAACCAAACGCATGACTTTTTATAAGATATGAGAGCACAAAATGAACCAAATGATCCGATATGATATTATGCAAACAGTTTTACTTTTTTTTTTTTTTTTTCGACAGTCATCCTAATATGGAATAAAAGGTTACATTTCAATCGAGTAAAATGAAAGGAGCTTTTTTTTTTAGATTGTTATTTGTTAGGTAATTGGGGTTCTGCTGTTAACGGCTGCGTAAAATAATAAGCTGCATGAGATCAACACCCCCACCTCATACGTTTTTACGTAGATCCTAAAAATAACTATGTCGTCAAAAAATCTTTTACCATATGACCCATCTTGGGTTTCCTCAGAGTTAGACCTTACAAGAAAACGATATCAAAGGATTCAATTTTACTAATCAACGGACCAAATCTGGAGATGATTATAAGTAAAGGCTCAATGTGATACAAGATTTGAAAAAGGGCAAGATAGAAAAAAAAACCGTTGAAACGGAGGCTATAATTAAACCATGATGTCAATTCATATTTCCCGTGGTCGCTTCAGAAAAGGGCATTGAGCCATTTAAAGCGGGAATCTAAATGCATTCTAATTAAGCCGCAATATGTACTCCCTCTGTTTTGATTTATCATGGGGTCTCTTTTCTTTCTCTTGTAAAAGAAACAACGAAAATCATTTTTAGTTATTTAGTGAGGGGGAAGAAGTAGGATGCATGGCTTAAAAAAGATGTTCAAATAATAATATAATTTAAATAGTAACGCTATTAAAATAAGACGGTGTTACTTTTATTTTTTGTTTCTGAAAAAAAAAGGGCACGATTTAATTCCTATTGCCACACCACCTTTTTTTTTAAGATTTGGCTGGGTGACCCGAAAAGCAAAACAGCGTCGGAGTGATGACCTAGGTGGGTGATGATTCCATATCCAGCAAAATTACTGCAGGATACTTGTTTAGAGTCTAATCCACGATAGCTGTTTGATAATCGGTTCCTGAAATAGATAATTGCATAGAATTCCTGTGTTTAGATTTGAGGGTGCCACCTGTATCATTTGTTAAGCATATTCAGATTATATTCTGCTTTGATTCTCCTAGTAGGGGTGTGATACTGAATACGTTTTAATCGTGAAATCAGTGTGAGTTCAGCCACACCTTGTCTACCCGTCATTGACCCAGTCTAGGTAAAAAGAACTAGAAAGGTTATAGTCTAAAATATCAAGGCACCACAAACAAATAAGCTTTAACGGTATCTATCCAATGGCGCAGTTCAGGCTTGAACAGCTGACGTCGATAGCAGAAAAAAAAAATAGTTGCATATTTCGAGCTATAATGTGTGCTACAACACAAGCTTTCTTCCAGTGTGAGAACATATCGTGCGTCTCATCTATTTTATCACGGCAGGTTACTAGTCAAGCAACACGACATAAATCTTTAGTTAAGACCACGACAAATTAAGGCAAATTTACTTGATTTATTTTTTAGATGCCGATAGTAATATTGTAAACATACAGTGTATATGATATTTAGAAAAAAGAAAAGAGAGGGGGTATAATTACAAGAAAGGGAAAACCAGCTCCCCTTGATTATTTTGCAATGGTTGATAAGGGTAAGCACAATTCTGTGATTTGGAGGGTATAAGTCAATGGGGAAGGAGCCATAGATTTGATTGGCTGAGCACTTTTCAGCAGAGTATTTTCTTCTTTTGTATGCTGATGATGAATATTAGCAGCAGCTGATGGTAATCGGGTCAGCGATGCATGGACCTGACATAATTCATTTTTAACATCCAATTGTAATGTTTTGCCTTCTTGCATTCCTTTTTCGACTGTGATGATGAAACCTTTTTCGCTGTAGGATTGATATCTGATGTTGTTTGACTTTTTGGTCATGTTCTTTCTTAATAGAGAGCAGTGAATGGGTCGACGATGATCAAACATTGTCTTGATCTTCACAGGATCCATGGCGACAGCATAATACGCAAGTTTGGTTTCTGGATCGAATCTGACGGGATTGGCAAGTACTTGACCTAAATGAATCTATTAAAGTAATACAAAATGTTAGCATATATAAGGTAGGCCTATAAATAATTGAAAACGTACCAAGATTCCCCATTCATCTTTTGATGAACGAATAATTCGTTTTTCAATTTCGCATAAAGCAAATGATTGGAATAATTTACAGGTACGTTCAACTCTGACGAGATCAGTCATTGAGACGTATTCAAAGATATTTGAGATGATTTCAGATGGAAGAGAATAATTCATTTTTTTTTAATAGTACATTGAAGAAGACAGAAAATGGAAAAGAAGAAAACAAAAGTCAGCGCTTTTATATTAACAATGGCCAGAGTTACAAAAAGAGAAGATAGATAATAAATCAACCTCCGTGATTAAACCCAGATTACTTTTAACCTAAATGAGAATATGTAGAAAAAAAAAAAAAAGTTGTGGGTCCAAATATATTGATCGATAAACAAATCCGCACAGGATTCCGAATTTTAACAGTGATGAAAGAATAGAGGTCATTGTGCATAAATTTAGGAAAAGATCAAATCCTGATTAAGCTATGATTCTTCCTTTTTCCTTTATTGCATTCCCCAAGTTTCAATAATGATAATTCTTGTTTTTTTTTTTTTTTTTTTTTTTGTAAAAACTTTTTAGTTAGTATGGGTTCCCCGATCCTTTTTAGTTTTCTATCGGGGTTATTTGTCTTTTAAAAAAACAAGTAATTTATTCATGGATACAGTCAAGCCTATGGAATTTGGCGTTTACTCAAAAAAAGTCGGAACTTATAAAAAGTCGTGAGCTTAAAGTTTGTTTGTCAAACAGGCTAACTTAAACTGACTCGAAGATTGTGCCTAATTGATCGCATCTTCCACATCTGGGTTTTTGCTCCTCTCTCTCTTCCTGATAAAATATAACAAAATGTTGAACATTGTTTTTATAAAGATGAACAAGAAAATTTCTTTATGTAATTTACGATCCCATGGAGAATGTTGCAACACTTGTCGATGATCCCAGTGTTGATCTCAGTATACTTCTTGACATACTTACTTGAGTGTAAAGCGCCCTGAAAAAAAAAATGAAGAGTTCTCAGTTAAAAAGTTGAAGTTCTACAACGTTTACAAGGACCTCATCGTGAAAACATTCATAGACTGTGTGCTTGAAAATCCTCGAGAGCGCGGACTAGAGACATACATATTAATTACACCACTGCTTTATAGTGGAAGTATTACGAAAGGAGTCAATTATAAACCCATGCCAAAAGGTACGACTATTGCTCATTTTAACAAGTTTATGAGCAGGATTCTTAGTGTAATAAATCTTGATGCAACCTAGACGGGTTGTTATATTCTTTTCAATAGTACCTCTATTCGTAAACTCAGGCCGGTATTACGGAAAATTGAAAGTAAAGGCTGCAAAGACATATGTATACCTCCCCATTCATCCATTGTCCCATTTTGGGCATTAGTTAATAAGAAAACGAAGCGTGGTTGACTTATGGGCGAAGATATATCTAGTAGCATTAGCGATGTCAGTTATGATGTACTTATAAGTCATATTATAACTTTCAAATTACTTTAAATGCCAAATCACTAAATGTTACAGTAAACATTGTACTTATATGCACATGTTTCAGCAAGCGATTATGCTTAGTTATAAATGAGTAGACGACGGATGGGAAAAGGCCTGACGTTGTTTACGCGCCTGAGGGCAAACCACCCATCCTGATTGAGTATATGAATAGGATTATAAACTACCGCTTTCAGCATGTCACCGATATAAATTGTATCCAAATATTCTCATGTTTGCTATCAAAGGCTTTTCAAGTATTGAATTTAAGATAAAGTTTAAAGTTGTTGATGAAAACAGTTTCTGGATACGATATCCTAATTCTGGTTAAAGAAATTCTTGTCGGTATTATCTCATACCAGAATACATCGATAAATCTCCAATGGATCCAATGGTAGCTACTGTGGGATATTTTTTTGACTAGTAATGATATGTGTTTGGTTTCTCTAGAATATCAATTGTATTTTGTAGTATGTCCGCTTTCCAGATTTTTAAAGATCTGACAATGGAGTCATACCCATATGTATATGCGTAGAATCCATAGAGTTGTGTTTAGAAAATTTAAAAAGATAAAGATGACAAGATACGAGGAGAAGCTGTGAAAGAAATCTTAGACAATATTATATTAGTGAAAGCTTTGTACCAATAAACAAACAACGTAAGTTTATAATAAAGAGTATAAATACGGATGAATCAAACCGAGTCAACATTAACGAGGTCAGATACACCAAAGGCGATATATTAATGATTGCAAAACCATGGGATCATTGTAAAACAGTTTGCCCATTAAATCAAAATCAGGTCCAGTTCTACGGTAAAGTAAATGAATATGTATCTTAAGAATAATAAATTAATTAATGATACTTTCAATGAAATGATATCATACCTTTATTCCTTATCCTCTCTACGATACTCGTGCTACTACATCACACATAGATCTGACCATACCTCAATGGTTGCTGATTGCGATTGTACCACCTAAAATACGTCAGGGACTCCCCTTCTCTCTTTCCCATTTTTGCAACTATCATCATCATGTGTATCACATTAAAATCTTCTATTTATTATTTACAATCATAATTCCTTCATGTTTATTTAGAACAAGAATAGGGCAAAGCCTTTCTAAGCATTCGCTTTTGTGTCTTGTCAACAAATACAGTTCTAGAAAGACGGTTGGTTCTTTCAGCAGAGAAGCCGGAATTCAAATGACGAAGACCAACCTGCCAACGCTTATAGTTACCATTAGCAGTAGGCATGAATCTATTTAATTTTCCATTAGCCTTTCAACCTACTACCTTGTGACTCCCTTTTGTTGTTTACCTCTTCTTGGCTCCAGAATGAGACTTTAATTTGGACATGTTGCGGGCTGATTGTCCCAAAGGTGATAAAGTCTTTGTAATCAAATTTGTTGTAGAGTTAACTACAGTGCGTCTTTGTGTTAGTCATTCCATCGTTGGTTCACTGATCTTATTTTACCTAATGCACGAAACATAATTTGAAAGCAGGGGGGTTGAAATAAGAAAAACCATTTCTCCTCCCCCATATAAGGCCATCATTAAAGGGAAGATCACTTGTAACAGTCACTTTTTCCCGCATTTTTTCTTTAAGCTCAGTGTTCTTCACCTCTCAATCCCTCTTCACCACCCTTCTTACACACATATCATGACTAGCAGTAATGTAGACTCGAACCTTTTAAAAACCCAAATGAATTCACTGGAGCTGTTACAGTAAGCATCTATTAGCAACTTTTAAAACGTGATCATGACCATTGTATCAAATACTAGACGAAAGACACAATCTTTAGTTGACTGCAAAGCAACATTAATGTCAAAAACAGAGGTTTTAGATTCTAAAAAAAGTTTACTACAAGAAACAAATTCAGAAAGACAACGCTTACAACGAGAAAAGAAGTTATTACGAGAAATGCTGCAAAATATTAATCAGGATCTAGAATCGGTATGTATTTTATAAAACCAAAAATAAAGCCAAACGAGCCCAAATCTGACGGCCAATGTCATTAATTAGCTGCAAGAAGTCGAACAATCACTAACAAAAGAAAGTGACGATCTGGAACGATCTGTTAATAAAATAAAAAACGAACAGTATGAACCTTTGCAGGGTAAGAAACATTACGCGACACATAGAATGCGTGATAACTGATAGTCTCACCCCTTATTCTAGACCAAGTCAATGAAATTCGATTAAAGATTGGATTAAATAAATTACCACATATTCAGCAGGAACTGGAAGCAAGATTAGCAAAGTAATACAAATACGAGAAAAAATGTCTTGCTTCATAGACTGATCCAACTTTATCTGTAGAATATTAGAGGATAGAAGGGTGAAGTGGCAACAAGAAGAAAGCGAATCATCAGCGTCGCCTACAGGCAAGAGAAGAAGACTAGCCGCCGCTAGTAGATCCAGAAGATGAACCTTCTCACTACAAATAAAATTAAGCTTCTTCAACTATTTCCCGAGACTCTTCTTTTCGTTTTTTTGTTTTTTGTTTTCTTTCTTTTTATAATGTTCCCCCTCTTCTCGAAATTTTTTATTGATGGGCGCAAATAATTCAAGAAAGTTAAGTGACCCCACCTCATCACCAAAAGGGCTCATCGGCAAATTACATGGCAATTTACATAGAAAGCAATCCAGCACAAATACATCGGAGATAACCAGCAGTAATTTATCAAACAAGAAAAGTTTATTTAAGCGAAGATCCTCCGAGCAAGATGAAAGAGGGACCAATTCACCCATATCATCAATAGAGCAACTACCACTCAGCTCTAGTCCAATGATCACGGCGGCTGAAAAAGCATCTGCTCTATATGACCAAAACGTGGGGTCTTCAAATGATCCTTCTGTACCACAACAAATGGCATCCCGCTTAGCTAATTGTTCACTGGACAGAAATGATGATGATGATATTAATAATGATGATTTCCAATTGCAACTCAATAAAGTTCGGTCTAATAAACCACTAATAGAAACTTCACTGAGAGGCGATCCCACCTTACAGACCCAAGATATGTTGGTGCATAAATGGCTAAATAGTTATTCACCATCATCACCTACTCATTCCGAGCATAGACAAGATATTGTCTCGGATTTTTATCTTCGACCAAGTAACGACACGGATCGAAGAAAGCAAAAGGATAGGCAACAGAGACTAGTAAAGTTTAGCTGGAACAATTTAATGGGGGATTAATTAACATATGATTATTTCCAATTTTTTAGCATTATTTACTAAAACATATATGGAAAGGCATATATAGAGCAAACCTAATCGCTCCTGAAGTAATTGTTGACTGGTGCTGTGGCATAGGTGTGTGGGATATGGAAATGGCCACTCTGTTTCCGCAGGCGCAAGTCATTGGTGTCGATTTCAAGGAGGCCACACTGTCGAATCTGCAACACGAGTGCCCAAACCTTAAATTTAGACACGTTGTCATACATACCTATTCTACAGGCTTAGAGAGTTTTGACGATAGTTCGGTTGATTTTGTTATGATGAGAGATGTTTGGTTTATCAATGCTCCGCCATCCAAATGGATAAATGTCTTGAATGAATCCTTTCGAATTTTAAAACCGGGTGGCTGGATAGAAATGTCAGAACATTGTAAGTAGATATGTGTACGTGTATACATATGTGTGATTTTATCAGATTACCCATATTTAATTTTCAAGAAAATTTAGCTTTGGGTGTACTATCGCCAGGCCCTTGCACCCATAAAGTAAATATGTTCTTCAGAAAGTTTTTTGAAGATGCTGGTGTGGAGGCAGCCATTGCAGTCAAACTGAATCAGTTTTTAGAGGACACTGGATTTATAAAAATTACCAAAAAGTCAAGAGCAGTGCCGTTAGGTGAATGGGCAGATACAGATGGTAATGATTTAGTTGTATTTATCGGGTTCGGTTTCACTAACATTTCCCTTTTTTAGAGTTAAAATTGATCGGCTACCTGTCAAAAGATTGGTTAGAAAGAGGTCTGCGAAACCTTTCAAGCTGGATATGCAGTATAAACAGTGTCAGTACACAAGATATAAGTCGTCTTATTACTGCAAGTATGGAAGAAGAACTCGATGAATATCGTTCTTATATGGAGTGGACATCTTACACAGCGAGAAAACCACTCCATGATGGGCCACAAACTCCGACAGCAAAAAGTCGCCCTCCCACACCACCCACTGACAGTTCATCTATTTGTAGCAAACATTCATAAGCCAGGATTTTGATAGTCTTGATTTAAAATAATAACAGGTGTATTTTTATAGAGTGTACGTCTAATAAAGAGAGAAAGAGCGAAATAAAGACCCATAATGCATAAACAGAGTTTAAAATATATTTGAGTTTGATTTCTGTGTTCACTTTTTAGGCTTTTGTATAGCCGTAGAAGTGCTCTTATAGCCAGATACCACCAATCAGTAGACTTTTAAAATAAGGGAATCCAGATTTGCTTTTATGCTGATAGCCAATTATCCTTCCGAATGCAAATTTTTATTTAGTTGCTGTTTCGCCACCCAAGAAAAAAAAACGATGACATCACAACTGATTGATTTAGGCGCGCAGCAAACACTTTTTTCTTTTCTTTTTTTATCTCTCCAAAAGAAATCGAAATGTCCACGACAAGTGAAGATGCGATTGGTTTGAAAAAAGGTACTTGAGCAATACTGATAGCGCACTGGATTTTTAGTATTAACTTATCGTGTACGAATAGCCTTGGAGTTTGATAAATTGCAGCAACAAATAGTTGACTTGCAATCTAACTTCAAAGAAGTGTCTGAAAAAAATCTATCTTTACGTAAGTATTTCTCTTGTAAGATTAGTACCTCTAGATGCTGATGCCTATTTTTTGCGTTTCTTTTTATAAAGAATCAGAGGCAGTTAAATGCAAGAGTGAATTGGAATTTCTTAAGTCCTTAAAAGCTGCTACGGAACTCGAAAAGCAGCAATTGGATGACAAACTCCAACTTCTCGTCAAAAACGAGAATGTTTTACGCCACCTTAACGCCCAAAGTTTAGAGCAGCTAAACGAAAAGCGAGGTAAGTCTTGATTACTCTCTTAAGCACTTCTTTTGTTGTTTCCTTTCTTTTCTTTTTTTCTTCCGCAACCTAAATTTTTTTCATGTAAATTCAGAGGCTTTGAGAACAGTTCAAGACAAGCTCGCTCATTTACAACAAGAGCTGGCCGCTAAAGACTGTGAAACGCAAGAATTAAAAACTGGACTTCTTCGACTCAAAGTAAGTATATTAACGCGTTTTGTAGTAGATACTTACCTTTTTATTATGAAATATATTAGGATACTAGACATAATTTGGATAGGAAACTTAGTGTTACCATAAACCAAAAAGCCCAGCTGGAAACTACTTTGCGCTCTCTTCAGCAAGACCATGAAAAGTACAGACATCAAAGTGTATGTTCAACTACTTTTTTTAAAGATATAAAACTGACCTTCTTATTACACAAGATTAAAGAACGCCGGGAACTAGAAGAAAAAATGGTAACTCTGGAAAGAGAAAAGGACACAGCTTCCGACTCTACTCGAGAAGTTTTATTCGAAAAGCGGCAATTGGAAGAGCAAATGCTCACCATCCGCAACAAACTCACAACAGCCGTTCAAGAACGAGATAATGCGAAATTAAGCCTGCAGGCTACAAGTAGGTCATATCAAGAACTTTCCCTCTTGTATGAAGAGCATGTCACACATACCCAAAAAAAGACATCAACTTATGAAGCTACAATCAGCTCGATCGCTGGCGAAAGAGATGCTCTACAATTAAAAATTACCGAATTGGAAGCTACCTTGAAACAGGAACAGGAGCTTCGTAAAGAGCATTTTGAAAAGTTAACAGGTGCCGCCACCTCTTCAAACAACACACAATCAGCAAGTCACTTGCTTAATCTAATGCGTGATTATGAAAAGTTGAATCGACATCCAGCGGATATTTATGATGATTTCTTTCGATTAAAGGCAAATTATGAAAAGGCCGTGGCAAGTTCTACTCAAGCTACCAACACTGTCGAAACGATGACGCGCCAATTAAACGAAAAAGAAAATCTTTTTAACAGATTACATCGAGAATTGGTTGAGTCGAAACGTAATAATGACTTCACAAATACCCTCCTGAAAAAGGAACAGGACGCTAACAAGAACGCTTTAAACGAAAACAAGCAGTTAGAGAATCAACTAAACGAAATGAAGGGAGAACGTGATTCTTTAAAGTCTACTTTGACATCTACTACATATCAGTTGCAGTATCTTTTAAGTGATGTACAAAGACGCAACCAGCCTATTCCTGCCGAACTCAAGAATAGTGCCGACTTATTAGGATCCGCACAAGTGACTCCTGAACTTCCCCACGACCAACTCATCTTTAAGGATGTCGCATCCCTCCAAGATCTTAACCAGAAACTTACGTATGAAGTTGTGACTTTAAAGCAAGAACTCCAGAAGAGGACGGAGGAAATGACACGAGATAATACCCAGAAGAATATCGATGTCAAATCTTACAAAACTGCCTTAGATGAAGCACGACAAACTGTTATGGATCTTTCAACTCAACAAACCAACTTGCAAAATCGTTTGGAAATCATCCAAAAGGAATGTCAGAACTATAAAAATTTAGTTAGCCAAATTGGAGATGGAGATGCCAAGGACCACTTTGAACAAATGAAGCAGATTCAATGTCGTCAAAACGAGGAGAAAGATGTCGCCGTTCAGGATTACACCAAAGAAGTTCGTGTAGAAGTTGCTGGACTTAGCAAAGAACTTGAGGCTGCTCGTAATTCTGCTACTGAGGCTAAATATGAATGCAGCTGCTTAAAGTCGGAACTTGAACAGGCCGTGAAGATTCAAGCTAGTTTAAAGAGCTCGATTGACAACCTCCGAAACGAGAAATTGAATTTGATCAATCAAAAGAGTGATTTACAAGAATATTCCAGCAATAGGGATTCTGAATTTGAAATCACTAAAGGAAAGCTGAGAGACCTCGAGTATAAGGTTCACGATCTTGATACGGAAAAGATCTCCCTCGAAAGCCGGCTCGAATCCGCCATCACCGCCTATAACACTATGAAAGATGCTGTAAATACCGAATCTGCTAGCAAGGTTCATATGACCCATCTATTGGAGGCCATCAACAATCGCATGGAGGCATTCAACGAGTCCTCTAAAGAGAATGCCGAACAAAACAAGGAAACAATTGAACACTTGAACCGTGAATTACAGCACGCACGCGATACATTAGCCACAGCAGAAAAAGAACTGGATAATTACAAGTCAATTGATCAACAAGAGATTCAGGATAAATACAAAGAGTCTGTTATTGAAGTTCGCTTGCTTAAAGAGAAGATCGCTGATGTCGAACAACAGCTCTCCAAGGTTAACCAAGATAGAATTATTGCTCAAACTAAGTTGGCCGCAGCTGAAGAGCAAATTCAAAACTTATCTACATCCGATTCACCTACCGCTGGAGAGTCCACAAGTTGTAACGACCATATCCACAGTTTAGCTAGTGCCGAGGATCGTATTCGTGTTTTGGAACATGACATCGAAACTTACCATACTGTTATAGAAAATAATGAAAAGAAAATCGAGGAACTTTCCAAGGAACATGCTGATTATATCACCAATACCCAAGTTCATATTGACAAGTTGGTGAAAGAACTCGAAATCAAGACTGCCGCTGTCGGTGTTGTACAAGCTGAAGCCGATAAAAATGTTGCAGAGTACAAGGTCATGCATGAAAAGGTCCTATCCACACAATCTGAATTGATTAAGGAAAAGCGAGAATTAGAAGCTAAGGTTGATGCATTGGATACTGAAAACCTGAATAAGGATAATGATCTCAAGGCATTGCGTCAAGCATTAGAAGAAAAGGACGCTGCCTACTCTAGCGCAGAAACTAAATTGGATGCTCAGACAAAGGCAACTGAAGAATATCGTCAAACTATTCAAACGCTACGTGCTGACGTTTCAAATCTCAGTAATGAAATCGTGGAATACAAGGCCAAGGCAGATGCATCTACTGCTACCATCGAAAATGTAACCGCAGAATATAAGCGTGAGGCTGCTCAGTGGACTGAATTCGAAGGAAGTTTGAAGAAGAGCTTGCTTGATTCCGAAAAGCAACGGGAAGCTTTGGCTGCTCGTGTCGAAGAACTCCTTAATAAGCATGCTGAATGGCAAGTTTCAATCGAAAATAATGGAAATGTTGATAGTACAGCTTTTGAGGGAACTGCTCAGGAAACTCTTAAACAATTGCGCGAAGCCACGATCACCCTTCGCATCGAAAAAGATGCTAACGAGAGCAAGTATCGTTATGAACGCGAACTTCGTGAGCGTGCTCAGTCTGAACTCTTACCTCTCAAGCAACAGTTTACCAACGTTTCAGCAGAGCTTCAAGAACTTCGTGAGCAAAATAAGAATTCGAGTGCCAGCCTTAATACTTCCATTCAACAATATATCGTTCAATGCAACGCATTCCAAGCACAGAACTTGGTCTATTTCCAAGAGAATACGGCTTTGAAGCAACAGCAAGAACGAGCTTTGTCCGAATTACAAAAGAAACAAGAAGAGATATCACCTTTACTTTGTAAGTCAAATTAACATCCTCTTTTAACTTTGCACAAAACTTATAACCTTTTTAAAATAGCTGAAATCGGAGCTTTAAAGGGACAGCTTGACATCGCTCAAAAAGAAATTGAAATTCTCAACAAATCCCAAAAGGAATGGTCTGCTCGTTCAGCACAACTGCTATCCAAATATAACAAGGTAGATCCTGCTGAGAGTGAGCGTATTAAGACCGAATTGAGTAATACCAAATCGGAATTGGAAGAAGTCAAGACTGAGAAGGTTGCACTTGAGGAAAAGATCAAGGAATTGGAAGCCCTCAAGGCGAAAACTGAATTGGAGCGTGGCTCACTTGTTGCCAAGGCAAATGAAAGAGGCCGTCTTGCTATGGAATGGAAGAAGAAGTTCAACGAGGTGAGCACAAACTTAAAGGAATACAAAACCAAATTGGAAGAATGCGAACAAAAGTTGAAGGTCGCCGAAACAGCTATAGTGGTAAAGTAAAAAAGGTCATATATATCTCGATGCACTGCTAACTAAAATTACATTGATAGACTGCAAATAACCAAAATGCTTCCAATAAAGAGAAGGAAGATATTGACGAAGAAAAGAAGAAGCTTGAGGAATCATTAAAATCCAAGACCGATGACTACTTGACTCTGGAGGTATGTATGCAATAAAAAAAGAGAAAGCAATGAGACTGATTTTATTACAGAAAAAATACAACAATATTCTTATCAGAGCACGATCGCTTCAACAAGAAAGAGCCAAGAGTAACGAGGAGGTTAAAGCACTCCGTCTTAGCCAAGCAGAGTTGAAGACCAAGATCACGACTTTGGAAGGTGAATTAGAAGTCGCTCGTAGCACTCTGCAAGCTAACTCTGTTGAGCTTACCAGACTTAAAGCACAAAATTCCATGGCTTTAAACAAGAATACACGTATGCAAAAGGAACTTGATGCGTTAAAGATTCCCAAAGCATCAGCATTGTCGGCCGCAGCTCCTGCTTTCCAAGTGTCCTCTCCGGTAGTGTCCTCTCCGGTGGTTGACTCACCTAGTGCCACACAAACCAACAGCCCGATCATTTCTGATACAAATACTGCTTCAAATACATCTGATGCCCACGCCACGCAAAAGCCTGTTGTTACGCCTGAAGTCAGTGCACAAAAGGCTGCTACTCAAGAAGCCTCTGGTTCACCAAAGATTGCTACTTCTGATGCCAACGTTTCACCGAAGACCGTTGTAGCTGAAGCTGTTAGCTCACCAAAGGTTGTCGCCGCTCCTTCCACGCCCGTACAAGTGAAAGTAGAAGCTCCCACTCCATCATCAGCACCTGAAAGCCCTGCAGCTACGACAGAAATTGAAGAAGCCAATGTAGCTACTCCTATGACTGAAGCCGACGCTGAGATTGAGGATCTTGTTGCCACCTCATCACCCACTGCTGATCTCGATGCAGACTTAAATGAAGAAGAGGCTACGGATGCCGAGGTGAATGAAGATATTGCTGGCAATAATGGAGAAGTGGAAGAAACTAAAACAACAGAAACAGAAACAGCAGAACTCCCCACAGCGGAGGAATCGGTTGTAGAAGCAAAGATGGAGGAAGCTGACTTGGGGGTTGTAACTGGAGTGAAGCGCGCCCTCGAAGAAGATGAGGATGTCTCCTCACCCCAATCTCCAACGAAGAAAGCTCACGTTGAAGAGTAACTTGTAAATTAAATAAAATAAAATAGTATCGTTGAAAATAGTTAAGATTACGGGCCTGTAGATTAAGATGACCATTAACCCTATTAATTGTATTAAGAAAAGTTTAAAAAGTGAGAATTTGGCATGAGAAAGTTGTGACATCGATTTCGTTGAGAAATGAACAAATGCCCTCTATTTGTGAGTCTCTTTGTTTTCGCATTAATTAGTGGTAGATTAAGATATCTTTAATAGTCCAATGCTTGCTCCTTCAATATAAAATTCAGACACTCGAGAGTTAGTTTTCAACTTGGGCACATGTACAGAAGTGTGCTTTACAGGCAGTATTTTAAAACACAGTGAACAGGCATGTTTTTTGCGGAACTCTGTGTCAATGCTTCATCCACTTTAAGACGGTCAAGGTTACACCGTGACTGTCATCCGAGCTTAATTTGGGTGTACTAAAATGAAAAATTTTGCTGGATTTGACAAAGGTTTAACCTTTATTTTTCATTACAATGGAGGTAAGGTAGATCCAACAGAAAAAAGAAGTTATTAAACTAATCCTGATTCTTGCAGCAATTTCTTGCAGGTCTTGATGACCTTTTGACCAAAATCGCCCAAGCTCAAGACTCAGAGACAATCAAGAATGTGAGTGTACCCCTTTTTTTTTGAATGAAAAAATATATATTGACAAGAAGTTTTGATAAAATAGGCCACTTCTGCTTTGAATACACAATATTATGTCTCGTCTGATTGTGTACCTGCCCTCGTAGAAATTATTTCCCGCTCACCTCATTTCCAAGTACGTCAATTAGCCGCTGTTGAATTGCGTAAAAGAGTGTCAAAGTGGTGGTCTCAAATTCAAGAGGCTGTCAAGGTTAACTTACGTACACAACTTTTAAGCATTGCTCTTAATGAAGAAAAGTAAGCATAACATTATCAAGATTTGTGTCGTTTTTTTTTAATTTTTTTTTCTTTTCTTTTTTTTTTTTTTTTTTTTTTTTTTTTTTTTTTTTTTTTTTTTACCTATAGCCAAGCTGTTCGTCACTCTATCGCTCGAGTCATTTCCTCTGTTGCTAGTATTGATATGCCTGATGAGAAATGGCCTACACTTTTAAACTTTTTAAACGAAGCATGTGCAAGCCAAAACCCTTCTCATCGTGAAATTGGTGTTTACTGTTTGTATACTTTATTTGAAGTCATTGCTGATTTTTTTATGAACAACACCGCTTCCTTGTTCGACCTTTTCAACAAGTTGATTGTTGACCCTGAGAGCAAGGCTGTCAGAATCACCACTGTTTTGGTTCTCGGTAAGCTCTCTGAGTTTATTGATGGAGAAGACAAGGCCACCATTGTAAGTCGAAAGGCAAAAATTGGGGATCTTTGTAAAATAACTAAAAAAAAAAAAAAAAAAAATAGAAAATGTTCAAAGCAATTATTCCCAGAATGGTGAATGTGTTGGAAGAATGTATTAAGGGTGATGATGACGATAATACCTCTCAAATCTTTGAAGTCTTTGACACCTTGTTAATGTTGGATGCACCTTTATTGAACGATCATTTAACCAACTTGATTGATTTCTTCTTGACTATCGGTGGTAATACTGATTTGGAGGATAACATTCGTGTCCTTGCCTTGTCTTTCTTGATGTGGGCTGCTGTTTAGTAAGTTGATCATAAAAGCCTGGAGAGATGGATTATCATTACTAATACGTATTTTTTTTTTTTTTTTTTTTTTTTTTTAGTAAGCAAAATAAGATCAGACACTTGAAATTGGTTGGACACATTGTGGAAAGATTAATGCCTATTGGTACAGAAGAGGATCCCGAAGATATGGATGAAGATTCTGCATCTCGTGTAAGTTTTTTAATTGGTAAATGTGTATACGTGTAGCTCGCTAAAAAAAACGGTGCTTCTCTTTAGTTGTCATATAAGGTTTTAAACGCTTTGGCTACTAACATCCCTCCTCAACAAGTCTTCCCTATTGTTATGCCTTTTGTTTTGAGCTACATTCAAAACCCTAATCCCAGTTATCGTAAAGCCTCCATGATGGCATTTGCCGTCACTGTTGAAGGTTGTACCGATATCATTGCCAATAAGTTGAATGAGCTTCTTCCTCTTGTCTGTACTGGTCTTCAAGATCCCGAAATTATGGTGCGTCGTGCTGCTTGTATGGCACTTGGGTGTCTTGCTGAAGAAATGCCCAATGACATCTCTGAGCATCACCAGGTTCTTTTACCCCTTGTTTTCCAATTGATGAACGATAACAACCTCGAAGTCACTAAGCATGCTTGTAATGCTCTTGATGCTATCCTTGAAGGTCTTGGTTCCGATATTGTGCAATATCTTCAAGTGTTAATGGAGAAACTCTTGTTCTTGTTACAACACGCTACTCAAACTGAGACTCGTGCTACTGTCATTGCTGCCATTGGTAGTGCTGCTCATGCTGCCGGTGAAGATTTCCAACCCTATTTCTCTGAAGTATTGCCCCGTATTGTTCAATTGATGACACTTAAGGAAACCCCTGAGGATCAATTACTCCGTGGTGTTGCCTCTGATACTGCTGGATCGATTGCTGAAGCCGTTGGTGCTGATGTCTTCAGACCCTATGTCCAAAACTTGATGGGACTTGCAGTTGAACAATTACAATTGGACTCTCCTCGTCTTCGTGAATGTTCTTATGCTTTGTTCTCTAACTTTTCTCGTGTATTTGGTGAAGAATTCGCCCCTTATTTACCTACCATTATGCCCGAAATTTTAGTTTCTTGTAGAGCCGAAGAAAAGAACGAGACCGTCTTGGATGAAGAGGTTGATTTAACTACAGGTGGTATGGACGACGATTTAGATGAGGATTTTGAGAACTTTAGTTTCAACTCTGCTATTGCCGATGAAAAGGAATTTGCTGTGGATGCTTTAGGAGAGCTCTTTGCGCACACAAAGACACATTTCTTACCTTATGTTGATGTCTCTCTCATCGAATTACAAAAGCTTACAAGCCATGTCTTCGATGGTGTACGTAAATCTGCCACTCAAAGTCTGTTTACTTTTATCAAGACCCTTTATACCATGTCCAACCCTGCTCCCTGGACTCCTGGTATTCCTGCCACTTACACTGTTCATGAAAATGTTCAAAGCTTGATCTCCAACATCATTCCTATGACCTTGGAATTATTTAAAGAAGAAGATGATAGAACAGTTGTTGTCCAAACCTGTCAAGAGTTTGTCACTGCTCTTCGTTTGATGGGTCCCATTATTGTCAACGATTGTCTTGAAGATATTGCAGAATGTCTCTTGGAAATCTTTGAAAAGAAGTCTATTTGTCAACAAAGCTTCGATGATGGAGATTATGACGAGGAAGATGATGATTTAGAGTCTGAGTCTATCTTGATCAGCTCTGCCGGTGATCTTGTCGCTGCTTTGTGTGAGACTGTCGGTCCTGATTTTGCCAAATACTTTGACGTCTACTTGCCCCTTATTGTTAAATATTACAAGCCTACAAAAACACAAACCGAAAGATCAATGGCTATTGGTTGTTTAGGTGAATGTGCTGGTGGTCTTAAATCTGCCATCACTCCTTATACCGAACGTTTGTTACAAGTCTTTGTCAAGGCCTGTGGTGATGAAGATGAGCTTGTACGTAGCAATGCCGCTTTCGCTTTAGGTTCTTTGACTGTTAACACACAAATTGATATCAGTGGACATTACCCTGCTTTGCTCACTGCTCTCTCCCCTCTTTTCAGCAACCAAACTATCCCCAACACCGTTGACAATGCTGCTGGTGCCGTTGCTCGTTTAATTTTGGCTCATCCTGAAGCTGTTCCTTTGGACCAGGTCATGCCTACATTTACTAACGCTTTACCTTTGAAGGCTGATTTCGAAGAAAATACTCCTGTGTTTGAATGTCTTTTCAAGTTGTTCTCTAGTCATAACTCCTTTGTCTTCAACAATTTGCCCCAATTCCTTCACATTTTCTCTCAGGTTCTCTCTGATAACGAACAATTGAAAGAGGACACCCGAACTCACTTGATTGAACTTATCCGTGCCTTGAACGCCCAATCACCTAATCTGAACATTGCTTCTAGTGAATTAGCTCGCTTTTTATAAACCTTCTTATTAGCGTAGGTTATAAAAAAGGCATCCAATCCCTTCATCTAAACACATTTTTTGTATTAATAATTAGTTAACAAAATAAAATTTATATATTACGTAATTTAAAAAAAGTTGTACAGATATATCATAAATCACACTGAACAGAAACAACCTCGTTTTACTATAATTCTGGTCTCTTATTTTATTTTCCACAGACAACAAAGTATACTTTATATTTTGCTGCGATAAATGGCGGAAGTCAAAAAACATTTAATCTATTGGATTAAACCACTGGACTTGGATATGCACTTTTGTTACAAACAAAATTAAAAATGTCAGCAAACTTGCAAAAGCTTCTCAAAGAAAGAAAATATTTTGGAACAAAGAGTCCTCTGAAGCAAGGTCGACGGGCATTTGGTTAGTGAAATGCTTTACACAACAAGTCTGATTACTTAATTATGCATTACTAGAGGCTCAAGTTTATTCTGATAAATATTTCATTTCACAATTAACATGTGAAAGAGAATTACAAGGACATCAAGGCTGCGTAAATACTTTAGAGTAAATAGAATGAGATACACACACAGAACAACTCGTTTACGTCTTTAACGCAACCTTTTAGTTGGTCGCTTGACGGAGAGAAATTGCTATCTGGATCTGACGATAAAAAATTGATAATCTATAAACCATTTGAAGATTACGAAATATCCACCAAGATTAGCACAGGTATGTTGCTTAATATTACAATTGATGTTATTTTGTACTGAAATAGTTTTGCTATTTATGATCGATTTAAAGGTCATCGCGCAAATATCTTTTCGGCAAAGTTCATGCCACAAACTTCGGATAATGTCATTATTTCGGGCGCTGGTGATTCTGAAGTCCGTATATTTGACTTGAAAAATGGTGAATCACCTTTAGTTGCGATGTATGTTTGCCACAGCGATCAAGTCAAGAAAATTTGTGTGTATGATGACAACCCAAACGAGTTTTTGACTTGTTCGCAAGATGGTAAGGTAAAAAGATATTCTTGCCTTAATATGTCGAGATATAGTAATATATAGTTTAATCATAGGTTCAGTGAGACTTTTTGATCTACGGGTGCGTCACATTTGCTCACCACATGATGCCAGATCATTTCTAACTGCCCAAAATATCCCCTCAAGACAGCATCCGCTTCCTACAGGCCCAGATGTCCAAAATGGTTGTCCTCCACCTATAGTAGATTACGGCAAATACAATATCGAATTAAATAGTATGACAGTCAACAAAATATTTCCACATTATTTTGCAGTTGCCGGAATGAACGACTACATATATCTTCATGACAGAAGAATGATGCCTGCACGCAGCCCTCAGGGCGGAAGTGATAGTCAAATGGAGACATTAAAATGTATCAAAAGATTCTCACCTACATTGGATGGATATAGTCGGCCAAATAAACATATTACAGCGTGCACATTTAGCGACTCTAATGGTTATGAGGTAAGCATAAAAATATGAAGTACAGATGGATAATTAAATAATTAAACATAGTTGATTGGGAGTTGGTCTTCAGAAGGAATTTACTTGTTTAATATCAACGACTCGCCTGTCCAATCATCTTTACATAGTACCGTGGAAACTTCGACACGACCAAGACCTGATGATTCCAACGAATATGCTAATGATACTGATAGCATCGTTACTGTAACTGGAACAACTTTAGAAAATTACCAAGAGAATAGTCGACAAGCGTTGTGGACAGTAGTAGTTCAGCAATTTATCAGCCGTGATTTAGCAAACGCCATGTTAAAAGTGGATGAACTGCTAAGAGCTCTGGCGCCTATTGATACGATGGATGCAAATATACTTAAAGCTTGTTGCTTTTTTGTTCGTGCCGCTATTATGACATGTCATATTAACGAGTCATTTTTGACCTTATATGACAATAATGAAATCATTGAAATGATTGAAAAGGCAGAATCGTTTGCACCAAGCGACTGGAAAGGTTCGTGGTGCAGAGCCATAGGCTATTGGATCTTATGTGGGGGAGCGTACAGTAATGGATGTAATCATCGAGATTTCTATCTCAGTCAATCTTTTGAATATGCTGTACAAGCAAGAAATGGGTTGGCTGAATACTATTCGATCTTAAGCAATCAACCTACATCATCCACCGTGACCGATGTTTCAGCAGATATTCCAGTGTCTGTTGAAGTATTTTTAGGAGTAATCGACTTGTTCTTACGACATTTATCTATTGTATGTTCACGCGATGGATATGTACAAAGCAATGGAGTCGTACTTTCTGATGATGAAGCCAAGTTACTTGAACGTGATTATCAATATCACTGGTTGAATTTTATCAATGTGATGCATATAAGCTCTGGTCCTCTATCAGCTTTGGGCTGGACTAGGCCATCATCTATAGCAACATTATCTCCTAATATAAGACATGAACGTGACATAGACACGGAATTATCAGACAGTGCAATATCTAGTAGGGGATCATCACCAACAGCATGGGACAGTGATTTTGATGGGATCAGTGAGGAAAATGATGGGCCAAATGATGAGAGCGCGGAATCTCTTTATACGCGAGTCATGAGTGGACAAATTGCGGAGGAAGATGCGGATTTTGATTTGGAAGCGATGAATATACTACGTTACAATACAAATCTTTCGTTCGATACAGATGTCGGTGTTGTGAAACCTCGCTTAAAATATGTAGGTCATTGTAATATCGAGACAGTGAAAGATGTTGGGTTTTATGGTTTATATGATGAATATATTGTATCTGGAAGCGACAGAGGGCATTTATTTATTTGGGATAAAAAAACAACAAACATTGTTCAAATTCTCCGAGCGGATGAAGATGTGGTGAACGTAGCGAAAGGACACCCATTCTTACCAATATTGGCTGTATCGGGTATTGATTCGACAGTTAAGATATTTAAGCCTACTTCTAGACTTCCGACATCAACAGACCCTAAAAACCCCAATTCCTTTTCAACATCATCTCGTTTGTATAAAAAGGATGAAATCCTGGCTAGCAATGGAGAATACAATACCAGTTTGAGCGACGATATTTATATGACCAGAAGTATGTATGCTGCGTTTTTAAGGATGGGAAGACAAAGAAGCCTCCTCTTCAACGATGATGATGATGATGATGATGATGATGATGACGAAAACGACTTTAGTAGTAACAGCAGTAGCAGTACGTAGTGATGTAAACTAATCGGTGTTCCAATAAATTCAATCACCCATTGGTTTTTCATGCATCTTTTTGCTGAGAATTGACCTTTTTTTTTTTTCTTTTCTTTTCTTCATAACTATTGCTAGCTTATCTTTTACGCAAATAAATAAATGACTGATTTAAATTGGTGCACATACTGTGATAGTTCTATAAGCCAAACCTCGGTAAGGACATGATTTTAAATAATGCTATCCTTTTATACTCATATTGTTTAAAGAACTCCTTATATTGTTCAGAGCAATGCCTTCGCTCAGATGCTCTTCTTCGACATCCATCTTTAGGCTATGAATATCCGGAATTCAAGCATTTTTTTAGAAAGTCAGGGTTTATAGATGATAAACAATTGAGTGGTAAATTAGCTACAACGGACATGAGTATGACGACAAATGTCTTCGCACCATCATCAAAAACATGTAAAATAAACCAAGCTAATAAAAATTGTAGATAATAATGGACGCAATCATTGTTAAGAAAAGAAAAATTATTACCCTTCCCCTTATCCTTTTGTTTACAAAACATGTGTATTGTCAATAAACAAAAAAAAAAGTCTGTTCTTTTTATTCACCGTCCTCATTACTAGTTTTTCGACGCTTTCGATACGTAGCTGTAGATTTGGAGGATGCCGACGAATAAGACAGCGAAGAAAACAATAATGGGAATTGATGCTGTAATTCCTGTGGATTATCACACTGAGACAATATGGAAGGATGACTTTTACTACGTCTACGTCTTGAATTATGATGGTTTGGTGGGGACAATAGTATGGGAGTTATTTGCTGCTGTTGTATATCTGGTATCTGGTCTTCGCCGGTTATAGTATTGTGTTGCTCTATTGATGGCTGATGCAGTGTCACTGATGATGATGATGAAACCACTCGACGGCGAGTTATCGTGATCTTTCTAGTCATTTCTTGCTGTTGTTTCATAATATCCTGGTTTAAACATGCTTGCCATGACTCCATTGTTAAAAAATCTCCCAGTTGGATGTATACATCATGAACATCTTGTCCGTGTATTTTCAGTACATACTCTTCTGGCTCCGAGGAAAATACAGATGCATGAGTGTATGAGATCATTGTGCCTTTTTTGGTTTTCTCCTGATAATATGATATGAATAAAAGTAAGGATTATTTATCAATCAGTTTTACCGAGTAATACGATATATAACCTAGTCTTGGGAATATCATTAGTCTTCTCATTTTCCATTGAGATAGAAATGGAAAATAGCGAAATGCTTTTCTAACAGGTAAATCACCCTATTTTAATTTATGTTAACAAAAATTTATTTTCATGTTAGAAAAAAGCTTACCTCCTGTACTTCAACATAAACATTTGTATTATCGTACCTGTGATTCGACTCTGTTGGTGAAACGTCTATTTCCCCACCTAAATAAGCTCTTGTTATAATGCTTGTGTCACCTGTTTGTTCGAATAACACAGCTGATGTGTAGGGTTCACCTGCCGTACCTACATGATGACCTGCATTATTTCTGGATTTTAAGAATGAGTGTGCAACTGTATCATCATCATTCAGAAATGTTTGTTGTGTATTATTTGAACATGCCGAGTTATTGCGAAGCTGTTGCGTAGACGATGAAATAAACGCGCGTTTCCACTGTTTGTAAAATATGTAAACTTTGGGTATAAATAATACAGCGAAGGAAAATGTGGTTGCCCATAACGTAGCCACTGCTCCAAAATAAAATTTTGTATAGTAGTTCGCTAAAGGATTGACCATAGCCGTAAACCCAACAATGGCTGAAAACAAGATGTTGCTAAGAGGCTCTGTTAGATATGAATGTTATGCTATAAAAGAAAACACTTACTAAACGGAGATTCCCATCTGTTTACATTCGTTGAAATGATCATAATTTGTCCCTGCTGATCGCGTTTTATAAGCCAAAAATGTTGCGAACGTCAACATGGCTGCTGCGTAACAAGTCCCTACGCTAAGAAATATAGTTTTACTGATGGTTGATTCTGCTTCACAAATCCAATAATGAGATGAGAGATTTAATTTTACTACTTTGGGAACAGGTCGAGTCACAACAAGGCCGACTATCAGTATTATCTAAGTCGAATATCAGTACGCATGTATTTTAAAATTTTCAGCATAAGAAATTATCTTTACCATATCCATGACTACTACAGCTGATGTCGATTTCATCAAGGTAGCGTCGGTTATTACAGTACGGGAGATAAAAATGTTATTAAATATTCGATATATTCGATAGTTTTTTGCAATTAAATTTCTAAAATGCGACAAGTATTAGTACTTATTGAGAATACTTTAGGTCTACAAGATTACCCTAAAACCAGCAGAAAACCCAAGGTAAATGAAATTGGGACAATAAAACATGTTGTTTTGGTAGGTATGCCGATCATGAATATAACAGAAATATACGTAAATAAAAACCCGATTAATTCAAGGCAACAAAACAAAGGGCTATCATGAATCATATTAAATTTTGATTATATAAGAAGCTTTTAATGGGTCCTACCTGGATGCTCGAAATATCTCGTGTTTACGATATATCATTACCAGAAATAATACAAGGATACAGAGAACCATGCATGTAGCAGTAAATGCTAAAATTACTTGAGATACCGGATTTGAAAACGAAGGGTTCAATGTTTCACTTGGTGGTGAATCTGCAGGTGGCTACTAAAAAGAAGGATGTTATCAAAATCATATCCAATGTTTGTTGCACCGATCACATATGTATAATAATACCTGGAATGATCCATCATGAAACATGGGTAGTCTAGTTAGCTCAAGATTACCTGCTATGCTATGACCAATCGAAACTCGGATTCCATATTGAATATTATATATATGATGGTTGCTAAAAAAATTGAATAAATATTTAATGCTTGTATGTGCATGATAGAATATTTACCCTCTCGTTAAGTCGCCGTTACTATCATAATGTAAAGGCCCTTCAGGACTTAAATACCCTGTATCAAATGCTAGCGGGGTCATTGATGGGCCAAGTGATCGGTTGGATAACATTTCTAAACCTAAGGTATGATTTCCCATATTCGATAACGTACGATTGAAACCTCTTGCCATTGTCATCATACAGGAGTATGCTGGTCTGTATTTAAAAATTATTAGCGATGATAGTAAATTATATCAATGGCATACCCTTCATTGGTCGTGACATTTCTTCTCCCTGCATAAGGGTATCTATTTTTGCGTTAGTTGAAAATAATTGCTCGGGTAAAATTAGTCATTGACTCACACTGTGGGATCAAGTTTCACCCAGTCATCAAGAAATGCTTCAAATGGCGGATATCCATAAAGTGACATTTTCATATCAAAGAGGAATAAACCGTCCAATAGCTTGTTATTATCTAATTCTTCCACTGCATCTAATAAAGCTGGTGAATTATCATCCATTAACAACCAAACGTATTGACTGGACAGCAAGTTGATTTTAGCCGCTTCGGTCATCAATTTGACTTGATCATTTCCTGTCACTCCCACTAAAATAATTCTCATGGCGCTATTAGACACAAACTCTAACAAAGCGGCTATGTTATCGGGAAAATAAGGTTTATGTCCTATTACGGTCATGTTTTTGAAGCTAGCCAAATTCATGATTTTCTGGTAAACTATTAACACGAATTAATTTACTATCTTTAATATGTGATTAATATATTACATTGTTGACCAAGTAAATCATTGGAATAGATGACACCAATATTCACCCAATTTTGACTGAACGCAAAATCAAGCATAACGTCTGCTAAAATCGCTTTTGTGGGAATAGTTCGATAAAAGTATCTATATTGGCTTTTATCAGAAAAGCCAACTAATACAATAAGGCGTTAAAAAATGAGCTGGTTTTTTCGAAGAAAAAAAAACAAAAAAAAAAACTTTACTGGCATTAGCAGTAAATGAGCACTGTGGAATCTCCAATGTACTTGTCATTAAGGCACTGAGAGATGTCCAAGAACTCGAAATGTCACCTATGACAGCTATTACACCGTGCTGAAGTAATGTTACGGATGCATATACGGCTTTAGTCACAGCCCCTTGATCGCCGGCTTCTTCCTTCGGGAATGAGTCTTTCTGTACTAACGTTATGTATGCTCCAGAAATCAGTCGTTGTTGGTTAATAAAATTAACCGCCATCCGTATTGCTGACGAACCGCTAACAAAAAAAACAAACATACAAAACATGAGGCTTATGTTTGAGTTATTTTAAGAATTTTGGTGTTTACCCCCATACTATTTCCGCTGTCAGATTGTCATTTTTTTGGCTGAAGGGTAACAGAACCCCTATCTATGTTCGGGAGGTTAGTTTATATCGAATGACTTTTTAAAAGGGGTCACCTTGAGCTCTGTGAGACCAGTCGTATTGTATCGAGGTTTTATAACCACTGTATCATTATCAACTTGAGTTATTATATTCAAAGCATCCAATTGAAGCAACCTCCCAAATGCAATGGTGCTGTTTGTATTTGTAGCAACTACTTCATTTGACATTATTTGTTTAGAAACAATTTATTAATTTATTTATTGTGGGAATATAAAGAAAGAAGAAAGAATATATGGCATATGTGCTGTTATAGTTAATATATACAACCTTTTAATAATCATGCAACTACAATTAATTATTATTTTGCAAAGGTGTGAGGTTGGTTTGTTTTAAAAGAAATGCGTAGTCGATTTTTTGTTACGACATTGATAGAAATTTAGACACTTTTTGCAATGTTAACGCCGGTTGTATAAGGTTAAGTGTATGATGGAAGCCACTATAAATTAAATTCTTATCAATATCACATAGCGTGACAAACGGGTACAATTTTGAGTATTACTTTTGAAGTGCACACCAAGAGTAGTGGTTGATTGTAGTAAGATTGGCACTACATACAGGACAGACTCTATTTGAGGCCATTTTAGTAATTATAGGATTGTTGAATTGGGGAAAAAAAAGTAAAATGCGAAAGAAAAACAGGATATAATTTCGTTATCCAGAAATGATAAATATTGTCAATTCGCGAAAATTAAATGCCCGTTTCTTAAAAAAAATTGGGTACTTCTTGTTATTAGGTATTATCAACATCAAGTCAAACGCGAAAAAGGGGAATTATTGTTGTACACAAATAACAAATATTGAATAATGATTATTGAATTTTTATCATAACATTAAATTTATTCATTGGTGTTACATAACAAGAAGTACTCATCGTACGTGTAACCTTTTATCTAAATTATAAATCCATTCTTCTGCGATGGCAGGATATATTCTGTCTAAAAGGCTAAATTGTTCCTGCTTTTTTTGCTTAATTTCTTGATAGATGGCGTCTGAGTAGCTGTTCGTTCCTGTAGTATTTGTGATTGATTTCTTATGCTTTTCTTCTGACCATCCTTGCAGTAATGCAGTCGTGACTGGAATTGAAAATGGCAATAAATATTTGGAGTTCCTCTTCTCTTCCCTTTCATCGTACTGCTCGTCTTCATCATCCAACTGTTGTACCATACTACTATTTATTGACATAATTTCTTCTGAAGATAACCTCTTTTTATTTGTCGTAGTAGTCAGCAAACAATTTAGACTCGAAACGCTTCCTGGTCTTCCTCCCGTTCCTTTATTTGATGTGGAAGTATTTGTGATATTGATGCTATCCATTGATGACCTGGTTTGAATCGAATTACTGCTATTTTTTCTATTGCTATTTGTTAATGTCAGCTGTTGCTGATGATCCTGTGCCATTTGGTTTGATAATTGCTCCACAGCTTCGGATAATCTAGGTTCAGACACTTCGTATCGGTAGTTTTGCACACATCGTTTCACTTGCAATGGATTAAGCTTATCAAATGTTTGGACTGTTGAGCTAAAAATTAGAATATCATCCATCTGCGACAAACATTGCAGTAATTGTAGTAATTGAACTAATGGCTCAAATGCGTTATTTAGACTTGGGGGTAAATGGTTTATGCGTACCCATTCTTCCATGGCGGATAAATTCATGCGTATCTGAAGCGCCTTAGACCGACACAGATATCTTTTATAAGCAAGTACCCGATTAAATAATTCACATGATAAATAGTGAAAAAATTGAGCCATGGCTTGGATTTCAATGGCAGGTGGTACATGATATGCTTGTAATGTGGATTGAATATTTGTTAACAACTTCGTAATGGATTGGGGTGATTGAGATGCTGATGTTTCGGTGCTGTATAATGATAAAGGAGATGACGCTGAATTAAAGTCAACGGATGACTTTCTATCTATACTTGAAGCCGTGTCAATTGACTTCCTACTGTTATTGCTGCTACTTCTTCTGAAAAATCTTTGCCAATCATCAACAAATTCAACCTGCTCCAATTCATGAATGGATTCGTATTCTAGCATTGATGATTCTAATAATTTTTCTATCTTTTTTTGGGACTCGGTAATTAAACAAGAGTATGCCTCAGATATCAACTCTGATAAGGTTTCTTGTGCGTCATGAGTACAAACAGACAATCCAGGATCCTTTTTCAAATAACTCGATAACTGACAAATATTAGCTATCCAATAAGCCAAGGAGTTGATATCACGGTAATATGTCTATTTTTTTTTTCGTCTCAGTAAAACATTATTTTCTATACATATGCCATAATACCTTTATCAATTTTGCCAGTCTTGTAGCCACTGTTTTCAAAAATAAATTTAAAAGTTCTCTACTTGAGCAATAGTGAGCAAAGCGAGTACTTAGAAAGATGATATTTGCTGGCTGCCAAAGCTCATTGCTTAATTGACTCTTGTTCATCAATAATTTGACATCAGGCACATTCAAAGCTTGGTCCAATAAAAAACTTATGTCTTCCTGGCTAAATACAAACATTTGGTCCGGCAAACAACGGTCCCACAAAAACGTGTTCGAGGATTTGATAGATGTTTCCCATCGCTTTATGTCCTCCTCTTCATCGTCCGTAATAAGGCTGGAGCTATTCATAACCAAAGTTTCTTTATTTCTCTGTTCCTGCTGAGGCGACGTAACTGCTTTTGTTAATTGACTAAAATCAGGTGGAGAGGGTGGTTTGGCTGTTACTGCCGTGGGTTTTTTTCTTGGGTCCACTGCCGGGTTGTGGTTGTTCAAGAAATGACTATATCCATCCGTTGCATAATACTCCAGATCGTTAACAGGATTAACATTAGGTGTTTTGCTCGTTTTTTTGCTTATCGTGGTTTCAGTGACAACTTCACTATGGCTGCTCTTGTCGGAAACTTTTGCTTGATCCATATGTGGTGTTCCCAACAGTTCCTTCATTATATCTGTTGTTGGAAAATTATATACCGTTCTTCCATATTTTGTTGTCAGTGACTTTTCTGCACCATGATTCAGCAGTATCTGAGCAATCTCTATTTGATGACTATTGATAGCCCACATCAACGCTGTCCAACCCTCTAAAAATATGTTGATGATGAGAACTCGAGTTCATATTTTCTCACATACCAATGAAACCGGGATTTAAAAAAAGTGTGTACTACTGTAAACTTACTTTTGTCTTGTTGATTTATCCCAACAGAAGGATGCTTTAATAACAAATTTAAGCATTGAGCATGCCCAAAATATGATGCATACATTAAGCACGTAATTCCAGTCTTCTTGTCACTAGTGAAGTTGATATCAACACCCTCGGTTGAGTCTAGCATGAGCTGTATGGCTTCAAGGTCTCCGATCGAGGCGGCGCGACTTAACCATTTGGAAATAAGTCGACGACGGAGTTCTGTGTTCCCTTCATTTATTACTGCTTCAATATTGCCAAAATAAATTGCATGACTATTGTATTCACTAAAATTTTCTTCTTCCTCACTTTCACTTTCGCTATCCTGGATGTCTTTTGACTGCGGAAATTGTTTCTCTGGATTCGTTTCTTTTTTTGGGGGGTATGTCTTCTGTTGTATTACTGCTACCGTGGGATGAGAAGAAAGTCGGACCTCTTTCCGATGATCATTTTGTGTTGCAACAGGTGGTGGTAACTTTGAAGTAGGAGGTGGTGTATTTAATGTTTTTGGCTGCTGCCTCTGTGATGGTATAATATTACGGCTGTTGATCTTTGTATTAGATGTTTGATGATTAATATGATGAAGTGGGGGTGTTACGGGTGTTGGTATAGTAGAATTCACGGCTGGTTTGTTACTTGATAATTGGGATAGCATGCTTGAAAATTGCTGGAAACTATCAGCTATTTTAGATGATAGTTCTTCTGGGCTCATACTGTTACTACTGTTGGCAGATAAAGGGAGAGGAGGTACAGCTGTTGGCGTCTGGAGACGACGATGTATAGAAGCTGTTGTTGCAGAACTGTTTCTTCGCATCATATCTCCATGAGTGGTATTGGTGTTAATTGACAAGGCCGAAAAAGATCTCTGTGATGATAACATCGGTCTTCTTGATGCAATTGTTGGTGGTTTAGGTGAACCCAAAGCAGCGATTTTTGACGAATCCATTATATATACCCACAGTTAAAGGGTGACAAAAGAAGGGATATGACTGTCTCCAAGGGTAACTAGAATATAAGATCGAGATCAATAAAAGAGTGTTAAAAATAAGGAGAGCACTAAAGAGACGAATAGATGGAAAGGAGAGATGAAGAGAAAGGAGAAAACAAAAAGAAAAACTTCCTCTTGTTGAGCCTTTTCCATTAGATGGTTGCACCAAATTGCCAATTGAGTTGAAAAAGGAAGATCACACAAAGCGAGGATTTCCTTTTAGGGGTGAGTAATTAGGTAGCTCTAAAAACTGGCTACCACCCAAAAATTCGCATATTATTGATACTCATGGTAAAGCCTGTACTCGATATAAATTTTTATGCATAAAATGATATTCTTCATTTTTCTTTTCCGTGTGCTCATACCAAAAGATTACATTTATGGTTTCTTCTCGAGTTTAGGAATTGGTAAAATGTAATTGAAATCAACGTTTAACTACAATTCATTTAAAAACTTGAAAAAAAAATCGGGGTACTGAGACTATGTTATCCGTTAAAACATCTTTTTTAATGCGTTCTCTTTTGCTATCTAATAGTATTGCCACATAAAAGTTCACACCAGCCCATAAAAAGATGACGGTACTCTGGTTCTATGAAGAAGTGCAATGATGCTAATAATGAATCGAGTGTTCCACAAAATAGCTTAAGAAGGAGAAAAAATATTGATCTACTTGTGAATATGAAGCAAAAAAGACATTTGGCTTTGAAATGTCATCACTTGACGCTATTTTAGCACTTGTGGCAATAAATAGAACAAAGTTTGGTTTTGAACAACATTAATTTTTATACATTGCGTGTGCATGAAAATACCATATATGTAACTCCCCTGTTATTATCTCTACCGTCTAACATTATTGTTTGACTATTTTTTTAATGGGGATAGTATCAGTTCTAGGTTCAATGAACTATTATTATCACAGTGCTTGCAATACGGCCTTCAGTAATTCGGATGTCCCTTCTTTGTCCCTCTTTTATTTCCAGCCCAAACCACACGGGACAAGATAAATATACGCCCGCGTACATGTTAGAAGGTCCTGAAAATAATCCCTTTTTCTATACAACACCCTTTATTTTTTAATGTTTAATATGGGGTATCAAACCATGTGATAGAGTGAATTGACTGTGGGAATATACTTTTAACAACTTTTTATTTTATTTTTTTAGTAGTAATTGCCAGAAGGTTGCTGATAAGATGTTTCTTTGCTATTATATTGCTGCTGATACTGCTGTTGTGGCTGGTAATAGGAGGGATAAGTCGGTACTGTGGGGCTTGAAACTGCATGATAATAATCATTATAGCTATCGTGTTTTACAGAAGAGTTCAACTTGGTTGTTGCATCGTAAGGTTTGGGTGATGTCGAGTTTGCACCGCCTTCTGAGTAGTCGTACAAATTATATGTTTCTCGTTTATACTTATCAGAAGAATGAGAAAATAAACTGATAACAAAACATACAAACGCGAACAATGCGCAGCCACTACCGACACCGACCAAGTAAATAGAAGGACCCCATTGGTGTGATAATCCCTCAACCCTTGGTTCAAGTTTCTCAAGTCCTTTCCAAAAGGTAACAATTGTGAGAGCAAGACCAGCTCCGCCCGCAAAAAAACCGAATAGTGAGGTGAAAGTTCCAATAAAAGGAATAATGTTATTTTTTCGCATTTTACGAATCAACATTACACACACAAATGCTAAAAACGCAAGAATCACAGCGGGCATAATTAGCAAGATAAATTTAAATGTGCTTAAATTGGCGTTGGCTATAACTGTTTCAAACGGTTCAACCATAGAAACGTTTGTCAAATCCGCCCCGCAGGCCTCGGCAAACTGTTTAGAGTCTAGTAATATTAAATTAAAGTTAGATTTATTCAAAGTATGTTTGACTATAAAATTATATTACCGAATAAATAGCCAGGCATTTTTTTAGTACATGAATGTGCTACGTTTGAGTCTGGATAGTAAAGACAGGAACTGTAAACACCGTATCTGATGTATCTTCCTGTTACTGCTTCATTCAATTGAACCAAATATATACTTGGTAAAAAAGTGCTTGGAAATGTGGTTCCCAGATTTGCGATTAATAATAATACAAACGATGATATAGTAAATATCAATGTAATAAAATGTAATGCCATAGCTGTTTTTTTTGTGGTTAATTGTTGCCTATTCTATGTTGAAAGTTATTGTAATTTGCTCTGACACAGAATCAGGTTATAGTCAGAAGGTAGATGGTAGTTATGAAGAAAGAAAATACATGCAAAGAAAGGAAAAAGAAGGAAAAGCTAGGAAGTAGATGTTAGTGTATTAATAAATTGCATTATCTATTTAGTGATCCAAGTATTCTTTGTTTTGAGAAACCTTGATTTATTACTGTACGACGTTCGTCTATAGTGTGTGTAACCTCTATTGTTGTATAGCCAAATGGGCACGCCATAAAATATGGATCTAATGTGCACTTATGCTAGTAGAAATTAGCGTAAATAAGTAATTTACGTTTCATAATTAAATAGTTCTGCGTCCCTAAAGCTTTGTGCCCAGTTTTACAAATAATACGTTTACTTAGCGACTACAAGATGATTTATATATTCCAAAGGTATTTCTCTATTTTTGTACAGTCTTGGCTCCATATCTTGTGACTTTTCCAATGTCACACGAGTTGATGTGATCATATTTAAGACCCTTACAATGGCCTTCTGTATACTCGTGTAACAAAACTCAGATTGCCAAAAATCTCTAAACCCGAAATATAGTGTTACGCGTTTTACTCCAGACGTGACATATTTTTGTATTCTTACTAAATCGTAACCACCTAATCCAGATGGTTGTGTTAACATCGACTTCAAATTGATGGTAGATAAGCTCTAGATTTTATTTTGTCAGATCAGGTTTTTATTAAGATTTACGATAAATATGTCCTGTTAGTTTTCTTGTAAGTATGGTTAAAGGTTTTAAAATTTGGCATAATAAAAACAGTATGTTGATTCAGGCAGGTTGGGGTTGAAGCTCGTGATCTTTTTATTCTTTTACGACAGATTTCGTAGTAGTAACTCTTCTAAATGTTTACATAATATATAAACCTGGCAGGGATCTCCTCTAAAACGTTTGTGTTGTATCATACGCAAATAATATTTTATTGGTAGATTGCTTAACTACACAGAGCTGCAAAAATATACATTGAGTTTTGATATTATAAATAAATTTCTAATTTATTGGATCTGCTCTTTAGGACTTTGTTCATTGGTCATTGGTCTTCTCTTACGGGGTGCTCCCCGTCCATGGTTAGGTGTCCATGGGCCTAAACTATCGTTGGCATAAAAATCCATGGGGTAAACATCCTGCCATTCCGCTTTGCCTAAAGCAATTGACGCCTCATAAGGTGTTAATAAAGGCTTGGGGAATGCATAACCCCAATCAATAGAAAGTCTAGGGCATGCGATTTGAATCCAGCTACATGATACTCTCGTTTAGTCACAAATCTTAGCATACACACTGTTTGGACTTACGCATCAACATCCTCGAACTGCTCAAGTTTACCGGGGAAAATCTCGGATAACAGGACATTCACTGATTCTTTTCCTTGTTCTTTGATACATTGTTCCAAATATTCTAAAATTTGAGGTTTGCCTTGGCGGCCCAAAGTGCCCAGCACAAGGCCATATTTCTTTGCATCCTTAGCCACAGAAATTGCATGCTTGCGAAGAGAGTGCATTTCATTATGATCATATCTTTCACGTGTAAATGTTTTGCCGTAGGGATTATATCTAGAACGCTTATGTCAATTCACTCATTTAACGATAGAGAAAAAAAAATACGTACTGAAAAGCGGGTAAATGAGGGTTGTGGATCATAATTGATTCTAAATGGAAGCGACCATCACCGATACATACGATATAATCCATGTCTGTTAGTTTTGGCGATGTACAACCTAAAATCTCACCTGGTGATAAGGGTTTTGATTGCGGAATAAATACTGTGTAATCTTCTGAGAGGGATTCCCTTGATGCTTGAAGTGCTGCCGCAAATTGAATTGTGCCCACCAGCACAAGTCTTTTCCCTTTTTCGAAATTTTTCTTTACAGTTGCAATAAAATGCTGTGTATCAATTCCAATGTCAACAAAGACATAAAGTGTTTCAATCGTAGTAATATCGACTGGTACCAGACAACTGTGTCCATAATGCACCAAAAAATCACATCCGAGCGCACGAGCAGTATAATCGTCGATACAGCAGGCACCGTATGTAACATCTCCCATGATCAATGTCTCAGCATCGCAGAAACTATGATTAACCATTAAAACCTGTATTTTTCTTTCCTTAAACCAGTGTATCTATTGCTTACATTTCAAGGATATCAGCAATCAGACAAGCAAACATCATCAAACCTTCGGGCAACTGAAGAGCCACTACGTTGAATTGCACATGTCAAAATTATTATCAAAGAACGATCCTTCAAATTGATGTCCATACCTCTCTTAGCCTTGGCCTTTCTAACTCTCCAAACAGTTTTGTGGATTTCAAAGTTGTAATTGGCAGGGATCTAATAATTTCAGACATAGATCTTATTAATAAGTTGAATAATGCTCGCATAAAAAGTTGACAGTACAGTTTCGATAGATTTGTTTAATAAAGTGTCATTTAAGATCTCGTCAGGCACTTGATTAGCCACACGATTGTTACGTGCTCTTGGTGCCTCTACTCATTGAATGCTAGTTAGTATTTACTTAGACATTACATAATAAAGAATTTACTGGCAAACCCAACAGCGCCGTCTTCGATAGCACCGCCTTCAGTTTTGGCATCGTCGGAAGCTGCCTTTTTAGCACGGCCAACAAAGCGTTTTCTTGGCTTCTTAACCTCTTCAGAGGCAATGACAGGTGGCTGTTCCATTTTATATATATTGAGTCAAAAAAAATAGAAAAATAAGGCTTTTGGTATCAATGTTTGTAGGCTTGGAAACTAAGCCACCCATCACTAGCGTTACATAGGCATAACACTCAAAATGTCACTGTATTTTATTTGGCTTTCAAGCTGGCGTGTGTTTATAAAATAACTGCTACATCAAATTTAAATTTGAAAGATAGTGGCATAATTCACACTTATTAACCCTTGAATTAAAAACGATGTTGGAAGCTACTCACTTGCTGTACATCAATGGGAGACTTCCATATTTTGCCCGATTTTGAGTCATACTATTTCGGCAGACGGCTTTGACCTTGCCGAGAAGAATAGGATCGAATTTAACTTACAGGGTATGTATCTAGCGCTAAGACACGGACAATTATTCTTAATTAGTATGCCATAGATTGCGGTAGCTTCTGATACTCCAAGAGGCAATCAAAAGTATATTAATTGATAAACCCATGTCTGATAGCAAAGAGTTTACCTAAGAAAAGCGAAAAAAAAAAAAAAAAAAAATGCAATCGGTTCCGATGCAATGAATAAGTTAAAATTGTTTTTTTATTCATCATTTATCAATATGTTTTATTTATATTATAACTAAAGTATGACTGAAGTAGTTACGTTAACTTATTTGTGTTAAACTTAAATATTTTGACTCTGTTACGCTTGCGAGTCCATGGATGCAAAGCAACCAAGGCACCCTGTCAACTAAATATTTTAAAATCCAGCCCTGGTCTGCCCGTTACACACGTCCACTACTTCTTTTTTAAACATTATAACAGTGGTCTGATAAACTTTTGTTTCTTTCTCATTCTTCCGCCTTAGCAACCCCCCTCTCTCCCTCTCTTACTCTACCAACAGATTTTCTTTCTCCCCAACCTCACGCGTGAAAGAAAAAAATAATTATCTATCATTAACATTATGATTCGTACAGCACTTCAAAGATCATTTACGGGCATTAGTCGATTGGCAGTCCGTCATCCTAGTAATCTTGCGACAAGGTCTTTTTTGACAACCACAGCACCTGCCAAAACTAGAAGTTTGCAAACCTTCAATACAACATTTAAGAATAGTTTTTTATCGTCCCAAAAGCGATTTTTAGCTGCAACAGCAACTCCTGCCACAGTTGTCTCTAAACCTGCAGTTGCCTATTGGCTTTATTTTAATGCCGGTATGGTATTTGCTATCGTTGTAGTAGGTGGGTTAACTCGCTTAACCGAGAGTGGTTTGTCTATTACTGAATGGAATGTTATTTCTGGTATGAAACCACCTCGATCGGAGTTGGAGTGGAAAGAAGAGTTTGAGAAGTATAAGCAGTTCCCTGAATACAAATTGTAAGGATCTTTTTTTTTATTTTCTGCTCCATAAGTATATCTTTGATTTGACATTTATAACAAAATGTTCATAGGTTAAATCGGTATATGACTTTAGACGAGTTTAAGAATATTTTCTATTGGGAATGGTCCCACCGTATGATCGGCAGATTTATCGGTGCTTCATTCATTTTACCAGGTCTCTATTTTGCTTCAAAGGGACATATGTCCAAACGTGTTGCGAAGCAAACATTTGGCATCACGTGTCTCTTAGGTTTCCAGGTAAATAATGCAATTGGAATAGTAATTTTTCTTTACTGACTATTTAATAGGGTTTCATGGGTTGGTATATGGTTAAATCGGGCCTCTCTGATGCTCTTATGAAAGAGCCTGGAAGTGTTCCTCGTGTCAGTCAGTACCGTTTAACAGCACATTTAGCCACGGCTATTGCCATTTATGCAAGTACTATTTTCGTTGCTGCTGATATTGTTCGTCAGAACAAGATTGCCTCAGGAAAATACTCTCAAACTACCGCTTCTATGTTAAATAACCCTATTTTGAAACGTTTCCGTATTGCCACTCACAGTTTAGGCGCTTTGATGATGCTTACTGTTCTTTCTGGTGGCTTAGTTGCAGGTTTGGATGCAGGTTTGATCTATAACGAGTTCCCTTTCATGGGTGAAGGTATTATTCCCCCCAAGGATGAGCTCTGGTCTGATAATTACGTAAAACCTAATGATAATGGTAAATGGCGTAATTTCTTGGAGAATCCTACTACTGTTCAATTTGATCATCGTACTTTAGCCGAAACCACTGCTACTTTAACTACTGCTTTATGGCTGTACTCCAGAAAGCTTCCTTTGCCTAAGAATGTTAAGATGGCTGTCAACACCATGATGGGTGCTGTTGTTGTTCAAGTAACTTTAGGTATCTCAACATTGATCTATATGGTCCCCATCCAATTGGCTGCTGCTCATCAAGCTGGAGCTTTGGCCTTGTTGACCTCCAACTTTTGGTTAATCCACGCTTTACGTCGTGTCCCTGTTTAAATTACTTCTGTTATAAAAAAATAAAAATGAAAAGCATTACTGTAGATATAAATGTAAAAAGCCTAACATATTTTTAATTGAGTTTTTTTTTTTCGGCTTAAAAGAGATTAAGTATGCTTGGTAAATATTCTTTTATACAGAGTCTTCTAGTTGCATACGACAACGAACATAAAAAATCGTATTCTACATATAATAAAATACCAATTTACAGTCATACTGAAATAATAAATACAAAAAGAAACGAAGGGTGAATTGCTATTGTTTCTGTTTTTGAGTTGCTCCAGCTTGTGAAATTTGCATATCTAAATAAAAAACTGAAGATGGGGAGTTTAAATGGCTCAATGTATCTGGAGTATATGGAAAGGTTTCTTTGTTTAGTATGAAGAGTTAAATTTGCTTATTAACAACTAACTAGAAATACTTATCTAAGTTTGGCCAGCCACTCTCGGTGTTAGTACTGGTTATCATGCGCAGTTGAAGCTCAATTAAAAAAAAAATTATAGAGACTGTATACTTTGGGCGAGAAATGGGAAATGTCTAGACCTCCGTATTTTGTCAATATATTTTTTAGAATCATGTGATAGTTTACACATGAGTCGAAGAAAAATATTTACGTCGATTGACATGCCATATCGTCTAAACTTCACGCAGATAGACGACTACCATGTTCCGACTTACTTGGGAGGGGTTGCCATATTATCTGGGATACTTTTTTTTTTGGAATTAATATATATAGCAATGTTCGGTGCATGGTTGAGAAAAGCATGAGAAACCGCTGTAGTCATGGAAATCAAGTAACTCAAAAAGTGTTCTGTTATATCCTTTCATTTAGTTGGACTTTTTTGCCATCTATCTTTCTTTTTCTTTTTTTTTCTTACGTATGGCTGAAGTAGGCTTTTTCAACGAAATGTCAATATATAACGCTGTCATTGAAAATTGTTCCCAGTAGTATGGTTATAGATACATTGGTTCCATCCCAAAGTTCGTTTTTACATTTGAAAAGTTCACTCTTAAAAGATTACAAAACAGTAACTGGTGTGATTTTTTATTAAAGCATTTTTTAAAATTATTAACAAAATGATTGGCGACGTTGTACAAGTGGGTCTTTCTACTGACACTTCCACTAGCTTCGGCAACCCTGATTTTCAAATGGTTTGTTTTCGTAAAGGCACTTCGTTTGACCGAATTTTTGACAATGGACCAGAAGCTTTCAATAGATTGGGCTCACGAGGGGGGAATGTAAAGTAATATATATAGCTCTGTGATAGTCTTCCATTTCAATCAAGCTAGTGATATAAACATCTGAGGTATAGATCAGTGCATTATCAAATGTGTGCAGATGGTCTTTAGATTTAGACAATTTTGTTTTGCTAGGACGCTAGGACACATTGCAACCTTTATTAAACATAAGAGTTTGAACTGGTGGGCCTTTTTTATTTGTTTAAAAGTAATTTATTATGAGGATAGGCTTGATCAGACATCTTGTTTTTTGTTTTTATATTTTAAAATTTTGGATATTAAGTTCTGCTTGATACTACACATTCTGAATCGTTTTGGGATTGATGTATTGATAAATAAGAAGAACTGAGGTGACCATATAGTGTCTCCATCTATACATGCAAAAAAAAAAAAAGATGTCTAAGCAAAAGTGTCTCGAAATGAGAAAGTAGTTCGTCGCATTTTTATGAACGAACTGATTGACATCATGGATTTGGACTAATGTTATGAATGACTTCACCATTTAAGTATCCTATCACACGATAAGAAATATCGAATACAGAGGCCATAGAATCATGTACTCGACTCCGTATTCCCCAGAGCTAAACGCAATTGAGAGCTTCTGGGCTCTTGTAAAGAGCAAGGTGAAGCGCGAAAATCTGTAATGACCGAGCAGACTTTATCTCAAAGAATTGCAGACGTCTGCAGCAATGTCTGTGTAAGTAAACTTAGTGCTTTTTTCAGCCATTCTAAGCGATATATCAGTTACTGTTAAGATAAAATGCTCCAATTTTAAAAGTGCCAAAGCTATGTTTCAATTGAGTCAATTTAAAATTTAACAATGACCAATTATTTTTTAGATTTCTACCAATTTCTATTTTAGTAACCTACAATTTACTTTTTTATAATCACCATTTATATTATTAAATTAACCAAGATTTCTCAGCTTTACTGAATAAGCTTTGAACATTATCCTGCTTTAACAAGTGATCCAAGTTTTAACCTTATAACGTCATATCACTTTGAAAAAAAAAAAAAAAAAAAAAAGGCTGGGATCTAAACCAAAAAAAAAAAATTAATTTTTTGTGACTGAAAAATTTAAAAGCGTAAAATTTTTTTTCAACGATTGTCTATAAAAAGAGGAGAATTTCGACAATTCATTTGTTTTTTCTTTAGCTTGCATTTCTGAAAAATAAACGTTACTACTATAGGGCATAGGAAATGGTTCGTTTTGAGGAGAAAGTACCTTTGGGTATTAGTATCTTCTGGGAGAATCGTTTCATCCTTTATCTGTGTATATCCTGAAGTAACTCAAGCTTGAATAAGTGATTGTTTGTGCATGGGTCGGATGTTATTGGATCCTTGAGTGCGTACTTCGGTACAAACTCGGTGAAGATACTCTGGCTTTCAAACTTTCTGGATGATATATTCCTACGCCTAAGGTAGATACTATGTATCCATTACTGTCGGCAAAACCATATCACCACCAATTTATTTTTTTATTTAAAATGAAAACGAAAAAAAACTTTTTTAAAAAAAAAGAAAACCAGTCCAAACACTTATAGTTGATTGGGATTATTTTATTTATAGATATTTATTATTACTAATCATGGTGTTCTCTAATATTTCTCATTTCGTATTGTTGTCTCCCTTGATCAGTTGTGCTGGCTGCCTCCATTAACTTGTCCTTAATCATTCTTGTGGCTTCATTTGTCACTGTTGACACTATTCTTTCTGCGGGACCCCAAAGGTTAAGGGAGTAAATGATGTACAGGATGCTTCCACATAAGATAGCTAAAATAATATATGTGGGGCTTCTAAGGATTGCCATAAATTCGTTCCAACCTAACACTATCATCATGACAATTACCCAAGGAGGTATTTTATCTGTGGTAGAAACGATTGATCTCTTTGCCTCCAGATAAAAAGCATCGGATTCACGCTTAAATCTGTTTGTGATGTCAATTTGTTTTGCCTCGCTTAAAATAACAAGTGATCGCTGGAAGTCGAAGTCATCATTTGATTCTACATTAAATTCTGGATCTTGACTAAGGTTAACTTTTGAGAATATTTTGATCAACGCTAACGTCTAATACTCGAGATTAGTCCCCATAAATAATTATTGTCAAACCTGGATATGGTACCTCATCTCTAGCCTTTTTGAAATGTGAGTCAATATCATCTTGGGGGCTCCAAACTCTAGGAATTCCCGTTTCGTCGTAACGGAACTCTTCTTCGAATCTTTTTAACGTTAGTACCCATAAGTTTGGTATTTTATCTCTGGTTATCCTTACTTATTTCGTAATTTTAACAACAATAAATTATCCGCTAATTCTTCATCTACTTTTTTACGAAGAACAATCCACGTTTGTCTCTTGAGATCGGTCACAGACTTTTCAATTTCCTGCTTTGAAGAGTCAAAACCTACAGGCGAAGAAGTTAGAACGTGACAAAAGACAAAAAGCCTGTCTCTTACTTTTTGCATTTTTGGCTAAAAGCTTTTCACCATCAGCTACAGTGTTGTTATAGATGTCAATTATCTTGTGCCACATATGCTCTTCTGGTCGATTTAGTTCAAGTGCTACAGGATCAGCAAGTTCAAGTTCGATTTGTTTCTCGAGTGCCTTGTTCATTTTTTTAAATTCTGTTGTGCGAGCCTTGGACGAGATCTCATCGAAGTCTTGCGCCAACAGTTCTTGTTCATGAGCATATGACCAATCGGTTTCAGGTAACAACACGGCTTACACATAAACAAATAAAACGTTATTTTTCTGCTGAAAGGATCACTGCGCATAAGTTTATATTACCTTTGGCACCATTTAGAAAGAATGTGTTTGCTTCATCCAAACAAGCAGAAACAACATTAGCAAAATTATATCCTGGTGTTCTTAATCCTTTCTGGAGGGTTTCTTCGAATAGGATCACTGCTTTCTTGTGCAAGTTATTTAACTGACCAACGAAATAAACACCCAATTGAGTATTTAGTTTTGCAAGCATGTCGATACGTTTCTTTTGATAAACAGTTTGGTTATAGCGAGATGCACTTTTATCAAACGATTGCACGGCCTCTTGTCTTATTTCTTTCATCTTTTCACCCAATTCGGGAATAATTTGGTGTTTTTCAAGAATAGTTGATTTATATGGAGCTATTCTTTCTTTAAACACTTCAAAGGCGGCCTTAATTAAAAAAAAAAAAAAGCAGACAAATAGTAAGATTTATGTAGCTGATTAGTTGTCTTTCCCTTACATTTGATATTTCATCGCATCGGTACTGAGCCAACAGTTCTTGTTGTGTTGGTAAATCCAAATCTTTGTTCGTTAAAACCTTATCCCAAATACTAGAAGCATACATGTGATAACCATCAGCGGGAATTCGTTTGTGATATTCAGGTCGAAATACGAAATTAGGGTCTTGAGGATCATTGAATCTAATTATCACCAAATTTTGTTTCGAAAATAAAATCTTTTGAAAAATACGTCATGCGCTCTTGTTACCTTAACCGAAGTTTAGCTACTTCCTCATCAAATTTGTCAGGTAATAAAATCTTGTGTGGTAAACCAGTAAACATGAAATCAAAATAATCCGTAATTTTGCAATCTTCGAGACCTTCAGGCTATAACATGCTGTTAATACATAATACTCCCACTTCTCTTCTATAAAATAACCAACCTTTGCCAAACTTGCCCATATTTTTTCAAGATCCGCCTTTAGTGTCTTTGCTAAATTTTCCAACGGAGTGGAACCGACAAAATCTCGGATGACGATCAATAATAGAGTTTTTTCTTTGCTAAAATGGCATGATATAATGATGATTCAGTAATTTTTTTTGTATTTAGCACGTGAAATAATGGCCTACCTTTTTTGGTTTTGAAATAATTGTAAATTCACTTCGAATACAGTCTTTAATAAACCCATGTTGGCGCCTTGATATAGACCCACTTGATGTTCCCACAAGTTAATAATGATCACCTCACTGGTTGCCATCGAAAACAAGGCTGATTTACGCTCAAAATCCTGATCCTCACCACGCTCACGACCATCTGTTCCTTCCACATCCATGACTAGTACATGCATACCTCGTCCACGTGAAAGCCAGATACCCTTTGTCGTTTGCTTTCGTTGATTTTCATCCATTTCAGCAAACGATGTACCAAATAATCTGTTTAATAAAGTACCTTTTTGTTGTTGTTAGTCTTTTGTCATTTTTTCTTCAAAGACCATAGTACTTTACTTTTTCCGGTACTCTGGGACCCAAATACTGCGACCACATCATACTTAAACCCTGCCTCGGCTAAACCCCATTTCTTCATATATTCCGGGAGATCATTTCTATACTAGTCTGTTAATGTTTTACTAACGTCTACATGGAATACAAAAATTTACGTGAACTTTTGGTGCTCATCAACTACTTGAAGACGAGGAATGACTTGGACATCATGATCCCAGTCGGGAATGCTGCTGGTTGCTGCTTTAGTTGTAGTCGAGTCTAACTTTTCTTGTCTATTTTCTGTATTCATTTTTTCCATAGTAGTAAGAAGAGGAAGAAGAAGAAGTATACAATAAATTTAATTAATTTCTTTTTTTTAAAAAAAAAAATGACGGCATGTTGAGTCGGTGCATTTAATATGATCGCATGCAACTTTAAAAAAATTATGCCACAGCGCGGTTTTAATTCCTTTATTTCAAGCCATAAATGTCAAATTTGCGGGTAAGTTTTCTGTTTTAAACCATAGTTATTCCAAGAGGTCAAGTTAATGCAGCATTAAAAAATTTCACAACGTTAATGAATAGATGCCAGTGCTTGGAAGAGAATTCCTCATGTGACGACATATGTCATTGCCCTCCTCTATGCTTTTTAAAACTGCGTCGGTGTTTTCCCGCTAAAACACGTTTTGGGGGTATTATTTTTTTCACCCCTTTTCTCCTTTTTTATTAAAAAAAAACAAAAAAATGAAGGTTATTGTTACTGGAGCTTCCGGTCTCTTGGGAAGACCTACGGTCAGAGAATTTAAGAACGCTGGGTGTGAAGGTAAGCTGTTGTTTTTTTACTTATTCTTGTTATTAACTCGACTTTCTCCTTTTGTGATAGTTATCGGTACAGCCTATTCTCGCGCCAAAGATGGATTGGTCAAGGTAAAGTTTTTTTTAAAACAAAAGAAACACAAAACACAAAGCTTAATTCTGTTATTATTTTTTCACTAAAAGCTTGATTTAACTGACTCTGCTGCTGTTGAGAACTTTATTGACGAGTTCCAACCCGATGGTTTGTAATAATTCACGAATTTATTTTTCTTTATTTACAAGCTGTTCTGGTAGTTGTCGTTCACTGTGCCGCCGAACGCCGACCTGATGTAGCAGAGCAAGATCATGATGGTGTATTACGCGTAAGTTCCTTTATTGCCCTCCCAAAAAGAATGTCTGTATTTATATATCTTCTCAGTTAAATGTCGAAACACCTAAAGCTCTTGGCAGAATATGTAAAAAGAGGGGAATTATGTTGATTTATATCAGTACAGATTATGTCTTTGACGGAACCGCACCACCTTATGAAGTCGACGATAAGCCTAACCCTTTGCAATTCTATGGTGAGACCAAATTGGGTGGAGAGGAGGCTATCAAGAGTGAATATCCCGAAGCTGTTATTCTCCGTGTCCCTATTTTATACGGTCCCACTGAATATAATGGCGAATCCGCTATCAACATCTTGATCGATGTTGTTATGGTAAGCATTAACTAACTAGCTGAGTATCAAATATCACCTGCTGATTATCTTGTAGAATCATGATAAGCCTTCCACAGTGGATAACGTTTCTAGTCGTTACCCTACTAATGGTATGTAAACCATATATTAAATTTTTTTGTTTAAATAAGGAAGACCTAACGATGCTGTGTAGTTGTTGACGTTGCTCGTGTGCTCAAGGATTTGGCAGGTAACACAATCGCACTTGTACGCACAAAACAAATTTATTAATAAATTTTCTATCCTTAGTTGCAAAGGTCAGAGACCATAAGCATATCAAGGGTATCTATCATTTCTCTGGTCAAGAGAGCATTACAAAATATCAAGTTTGCGGTAAGTGAGAATCAATATGCGAAGAACATTTTCGTCGTAACAGTTTTTTTTTTATAAATAGAAATTCTGGGTGAAATTTTAAGCGTCCCAATTGATCATCTTACTCCTCAAAACACAGTTGATAAGGCCGCTTCAGGTACAAGAATTTATTCAACATAAAGTATAAGCTGTTGTTAACATCCTTTAATACAGTTTCAAGACCTGAAAATTCTCATCTCTCCGTTCAACACCTCAAAGATGCTGGTATTGATACCAGTTTTGTTAGATTAGCTGACTGGTTTTCATCAAATCTCACGTCTCAAAACTAAGGGAGGGGAAACGTTTTTATTAAACTATTTTTTCTGAAAATAGCTCGGTTGTTTTTTTTGTTAATGATGTATCAACAACTACCGATTGTACAATGAAAATATTTTAGCATTTTCATATCATTTGCTCTTGTCCATACACAGCAATCATGAGATACACTTACAAACAAAAAAAGAGAAGCAAACTTTCGATTAGATCAATAAAGCAGATGCGGCTGGGTTAAAGGTACAGAGTTTGGTTAACTCCAATCTCCCAGTTATGTGGTCTTGCTTTTAAAAACATATCAATGCGATATGATCACCAGTGGTTTCATAAGGAGATATCAACTGTCACTTACAAAGGTCTTGAGTGAACTTTGAAGAATATCGAAGTCAATTGCATAAATTAAACGATAGATATTCTATAAAACCTAGGTCAAACAAATTAATTCCATGTGTGCCCCCAGAAAAAAAACCTACCGGCCTATTTTGTGAGACAAATGCTGTTGTTAACATTTGCTGACTATATATATAAAAAAAAAAAAGGAAAAAAAAAGAAATTCCCTGTGTCTTTTAATTAATTAGTACAACAGATGAAAACGTGGTCCAGTCTACCGATTGAAGTTTGCGAACAAGTGTTTGAGCAAATTGCTTCATGTGGAAAACGAGATTTACAGCAATGCTGTCTAACTAGTAGAGGTTGGAATAATACTGCTCAGAAATATATGTATAAACACATAAATTACGGTGGCATGTCCAAAGACAAACGATTAAAATTACTACGAACCCTTTCCACACATTTCGAACTGGGGAAGTACACCAAAAGTATTGATTTAGGCATGCCTTGGGAGGAGTCTTTTGACGCTTTACCGGCTTTGTTTCCCAATGTTGAATTGTTGGCGGGAAATATCATGACGACTGAATTTTGGTCATTTATGGGGAATGAATACCTTAACGGAAAATGGACAAGTATAAAACAGCTACCCAACTTTAAACCAGAGCATATACAGGAATATCTGGAAGTAGCCTTCTTGCACACCAACACTTTAGAATCCATTCAAGCGCAATTTTACCCAAACGGTGATGCACTTTCAGCACACGGGGATGTGCTCAGACGAAGTTTGCCACAGTTTGTCCATCTAAAAACGTTGAATATAGAATATCACCACGTTGAGCCCAATGATGTTATAAATGAAAGCTCTTACAGTTTGACAGATCCAATTCAGTTCGATCAGATTGTGGAAGGATGTGGTAACACATTAACCAAGATATCATGTCAAATTTATGTAAAGAGTCTCAATCAACACCGTGTTTCACCAAACATTTTATTTTCTGGATCTGATTTAACAAACGTAATCCAAAGGCCCCTTATAAAGCACTTCTATGGGCAACACTTTTTATACACAAAAAACTGTACTGCCTATTTTATGCATAAATTCCCAAAACTTGATCATTTTGAAGCTACGCAAATACTAACAGAGCTGCATCTTTCGGACAATGACTTTGCACAATTCTTTGAATTCACGGGGAAAATCCGCAAATTTTGTATTGGAGGTGAATTTGCAACAAATGCCAATTTACAAAGAGTTTTACGGTTATTTCTGGCGTCGAGTAATTTTCCTGAAATAGCTGTTCACCTGCAATATAATAGTGAGAGAAGTAGTAATAGTACAACTGACGATGCGTTAACTATTTCAGCACCCAGCAAGCTTTTAACAACCGAAGCTTGGGCAGGTGGAGGCAGCAGCTTATTCATTTTAATCAAGTTTAAAAATACCATTGATTCTGAAATCCGTCACAATAACATCTTGGATTTATACGGGACAAAAATCAAGCAATTACGCTTTGATTCCCGACATAATTTTGGGCCCTTTTTTCCTGGTGATTATCTGGATGACTCTGAACTCGACACTTGTAAAGAATCAGATGATGTGACTTTGCTAAGTCTAAACAAGATATTACAATCTTGTGTCCATTTGGAGACACTGTCCTTGTACGGTATCTCGATCCCAGCCTTTGACAACGACACGGAGACAAACATATCTATAAAGAAACTAGAGTTGATCATGGCAGTTATTCAGTATGACACTGTTCTACCCCAGATTGCGACAAAACTTCCGAATTTGGTATCCTTAAGTATTGAAGACAGTTTGTTTTGTAATGAACTAGAAAGGACAGGGACAAATGTGATACGCATCAACATGTCGAATACTTGTCTTGACGATATTTTGTGGGGAACCTATAGCCCTGAAGTCCTAGTTATTGGTCTCAGGCTTTGTATAGATGGTGTATCATATAGTGGCTACTTTGATGTAAAAGGAGAGCCTGTACACCAAGATACATTCTTTGAAACTTACGAGACAAATTCTGTGTTTTTGGATATCAGCTGTAAATATCTGCGCCGTTTATCCCTGAGACTTTTTTATAGACCTCTTATTGTATTTGACATTCCCACTTTAATGTCAGAATTCTTTTAAAATTACCCCAAATATATGAATAAAAACCTGTGAAGGAGGATCAAGTTTGATCAGCGTCGAACCATAGAACTGGTGCAACAAATAAAATGTCTTGAGAGAGCCTCGGTTTAATAAGCATTTATTCTGCTTGCTGATGCCTTGAGATTATCAACAATTTAGTCCTTGGGAGAAAAATGCCACTCTGAGATATATCATACGTTTGTGATAGAGGATGGCTTTGTTCCAAAATAATTTAGCATATCTCATTAACCAGCTTTAACTCCCATTAACTGTTTAAAAGTATTATATGGCACATTGAATGCTTCTGTATACCGTCATAATTAAGATAAATTTAGTGGTCGTATCAGTGATGGCAAGTATATTATACTATCATCCTGACATAAACCAGTTCTTGTTTATCACTCTACAAATAAAACCCGGCCACACACTTTTTTTTTTGTCTTTTTCCCTTCCTTCCTTTTCATATTTTGTAAATATCGTTAATAGTTACTTTCTAAAGAAAAAAGACGAGGAAGTTCGGCTTTGCTTTCACATACAGTTTGTGTGCTATAAGGAGGAGGGTATTGAGGAAAAATATTCGGCCTTTAAGTGATATATTACGTTCAGGGTGTACTTGATATCCATGTTGTATCTTTTGTATTAGTGTGTCGAATCGCTATATTTTTCTGAGAAGCATTAAATTATAATAGATATCTTTAGAATCCTTGTTAATGGTCAAGCAGAATTTATTTAACTGGGTTGGATAACTGACTAGCATTAATCAAATGGTTCACAATAGTCTGAACATGTTTTTTATTTGTTTCCATTTGTCCGAATTTAAAGTAACAATATGTTGTAATAAAAGGGCAATCTAATTTTTTGAGCTAACACGAGAAATAGCAAAGACACCTACAATAACAATACCCAAGAAAGCAATAGCAGCAGGTAATATTAATTCTTGGGGTATACCTGCAACAGAAATAGGGCTTTGTTTAGTGTTTTGTTCTGTTTCTGACTCTTCGTCGTCATCAGAGGAAATGACCACTTCTTTCTTTAAGCTACGTCTCTTTGTCTTCTTCTCTTCCACCTTTGCTTCTGTCACTTCAATAACGGGAGGAGGAGGCACGTATACGGGCTCAGGGATCTCTTCGACAACGGCAACAGGAACATCTTCTATGATTTCTTCTTCCTTGTGTGTAGCGTCGTGTACAAACAACTTGACACGATCTTGACCCATTTTGCGAGCTAATTTCACAGCGTCGGACACATCAGCATCCGATGTCATTAAAACTTCGTCGTCCTCATCATCCAAATAAGAGATGCTCAACCAAGAATCTGCAGGATCGTCGTTCTTTGTTCCGGTGTTTGATAAATGTTCCCCAATGACCTTTTGACGCACAGCTTCTAATAGGGATGCATAACTGTCATATACGGAAGCGACACGATGTGTTTTTCCGCCTTCTGTTGTGAACTTGAAGGAGAAGACGTCTTCCTTTGCCAATTGATTATGACTTCTATCTTCGGACATGGATGAGCGACCTTCTTCGTTATTAGCGACCATACTTGCAGACTCATTGGGTGTGATTTCTGAGAATCCATGCAATTGCGAGAAAGAAGCGGAGGGCTCAGGTGAAATGGCCCGTGTCACATTCCCGTTAGCGAGACTTTGAGAATGGGCTGATAATAATTGAGATGATAATGGGTCCGATATTTGTGATTCAGAATCATGTTGCTCTTGAGCCCCAAAACTATCCCAGAATCTTCCCCACATGGGTCCTTCTCCATCGTTACCCTCAATGCTGTTAATTTGTTCCATGGTGGCATATGTTAATTTTAAAACATCGACGATTCCCACTACATCACCGTTTTCAACCACAGGAAGATTGAGATAATGACCATCTACAATTATTACAGTGTGAATATATACTATTTTGAGAAGAAAAAAAAAATAGGGTTAGTGGTATGCTTACCATGCATCTTCTTTAAAGCGTCCATGATGGACATTTGAGGATGTGCTGTATCAGGATGAGGCGTCATGACACGGACCACGGAGCAGTTTTCAGGGTGCAGACCTGCAGCAATGACACGTAACACAACATCTTTAGTCGTAAAAATACCGGCCAAACCTTCTCGATCCATGACCAAAACAGCTGTTGTATGATAATCCTTCATCATACGAGCAACATCACGAACATTAGTCTTTACACTAACTTCAGCAGGAGCTAATCCATCCAATACAGAATTCAAATCTGGACATTCCATTTTATCACGTAATGCTTCCATATACTGTACTAATTGAATAGGACTGTTGCTCCATTCTTTCTCTACACCTTCAAGTGCATCATATAATTTACGAGATGATCCAAATGCTCTTTCCATCTTGTCAAGTGCTTCATATAAACATTTGGTAATATCCAATAAACCAAAAATATCACCTTCCTCATTACAAACAGGCTAAAATAAATTTTAAGTTTTTGTGTACATGTAATTTCTATTTATGTTTATCAATTACCAAATGACGGAAACCACGGGTCACCATAAGGTTAAGTGCGTCAGTGGCCGATGTGTCTGAAGTAACACACATGGGTCCTTTGGTCATGATTTTAGCGACGGTAGTATCCCTAGATATTTATGTATTAAGTCAAACCACTCCTCCACATGCATATAATTTCCAAATGTATATGTACCTGGCATCCAATGATTCGGCGACAACTCTATAGGCAAGGTCTTTAGCGGTAAAGATACCACATAAATGATCATCATCATCCACTACCAATACACAATCACTTCTCTTGGCTGCCATCAACTGGGAGGCTTCAATAACCAACATATTTTCCTTGACGGTTAACGCTTGAGAAGGTCTGAGTGCCGACACTGTACCAGCAATTTTACGGGTTTGACGAACTCTCTTTGATCCTGTCTTTTTCTTTGAGAGCTCAGATTCCAACTTCTTTCTAATGGCCTATTGAAAAAAAAAGAATAAGTAACAATAAAAAAAAAAGAATCAGGGACAGTACTTCGTCTCTCTTGGATTGACGTTGTCTACTGCCTGTTGCATTGGAGTCAACAGAAGAGGCATTGTCGTTACGGAAAGAAGGGGCTGCAGGAATCCTTGAGTTTGCTCTTTTAGTGGACATTTTGGTTCGCAAAAAAAAAAGGAAAGAATTTTTTAAACAAACACCCCCCCTCCCACATTTGTATTAGGTTACACATGATTTTAAGGCGCTTTCATCATACCTGGACTGGCTAGGACCAGGCATAAAAAAGTTAAAAAAAAAAAATTGGTCTCCGTTTTTAGCAGGTAGCCGTTTTCGCTTTCCTTTCAGGAAGAAAAAGACATTTTGGATGGGCTTTATTATTCTATTTAACAACTAATTGCTTTTCTTAAAACAACACAATAGTAGTGAAGTTTTGACCATTGCCCTTTGCCCCGTTCGCGGTCCAATATTTTGTACCTGAACCAGCGACTGCATCGCGATTTTCAGTACTATGCCGTTGACATCTTGCAAGACACATTATTATAGAACATCAGTGCTCTTTTTAATTATTTTTAAGCTTGTTATCTCGACAATGATACTGGAGACGCATTTTACTTAACTTGAAGTACAGCGGACAGTCGAGCCGTGTTTAACAACTGTCAGAGCCATAACATTGGCGATTTGCTTCAATCGAGAGATCACAAGTTTTAAGTTTGAGTGGTTGAGGCCTTTAATCCTAGTAGCATCCCCTTTCCGATTTCTGACAGTCTTTCGTAATTAAAACAACGTCGGATCGTATTTTCTTGTCGGGCAATCTTTTTGTAACTGCTTTAAATATGTAATACTCCTCTTCCTTATTCTAGCTTCTTTTTTGTGTCTGTGGGCTTCTAAAGTTGCATGGTCTACTTCAATTAGACCAATCCAAATGCAGTGACTATCAGTTGAGATAACATTTGACCTAGTAGTTTTTTCTATAAAGGGGGGCCCCAAAAATCAGCAAACATTTCCTAAGTTATTTAATATAATAAGATATCAATTATACTTGAATTTAGCTTCCATCATAGATCATCAAATTAAGGATTCGATTGTACATTACTTCTTCAAATTCTGCATTGAACTGAGTTCGTCGCTAAAGTTATCCCAAGCAATAACCTTTTATTATTATTTCGAAATAAGTTGTCCACTTTCACAGCTTGGTGGTCACTGTAAACACATTTGTTATTCTTCTTTTTACTTTTTATTGTATATTTCGTACCAAATACCTTACAACAACATGTAACTATTTTTGAAATACTTTGGCATCACTGTATGACTAATAACTTTGTCTGAGCAAGCCAATATTTAATTCACTGCAGTTAATGCCTTGATATATCAGAGTCTTTCATACTATATAAAATTTAGAACCAAATATTCAAGGTCATGTCTGATACCTAGGATATTTACCTTTGGATAAAGGATCAAATACTTCTTCAACTACGGAATCAGTATTATTACTTGGGAGTACTATCAAACAATAGCACAATTAATACCCTTACTGGCGCAATTACAAATCAGAATATGCAAGGATTTGTATGATAAAAACTCAGCATATAGGAAAATAGCAATGGTATATTAATGCAGATACACCCTATTATTATATATTTGCAGTGGATGATATTTTGCTTCTGCGACTAAATTGCTTTAACCAGCATTCATCCTGATCATCCAGTCATTACACATGATTTTTATTAAGTTATTTAGATTTCAATTTTTCTGTTCTTGTCCATATAATAAGCAATCATTTCGTCAGTGACCTTGCTCTTTCTTTCTTGGAAATCGGTAACAAATTTTTGCAAAGTTTCGATACAAATCTTTTTTAATTCACCCGTCATTAATTCACCAGATTTGTATGTCTATTCAACAAAAAAAGATTAGGAAATCACCTTTCGTGTAGCTAGAAATTACAACTTACATCGTGGATATGCTTTAACTCGTCATCACTCTCCATGAAGAATGAAAGATATTGGTAGGCAACATCGACATCAGGGTTACCACCATTAGCTCTATGTTCTTCCACAGTAGCTCCTCCACCAGAGAAAGCATGCTTGTTGATCTTGTTTTTGATTTGCTTGGCGGTATCTGTCATGAAGATGGCAGAGGTATCGATGGAAGCACTCATCTTTGTTTGAGGACCTTGTAAAGCAGGGAAGAATTTGGCATGAATAAGACAAGGCTTAGGGTATTTCAAACGCTTGGCAACATCACGCGTTAAACGGAAATAAGGATCTTGATCAATAGCACAAGGAATGAGACAAGGGATATCTTTCTTTTCACCAAAGATTTGAGGGAAACTGTTGGAGAAAGAAGGGGCGGCTTGAACAGCAACAAAATGGGCTTTACCCACATTGTCACTGTCATTGAAACCAAATGTGGCCTTGGATTGATTTAAGGTGATACAACGAGAAATTCTTACAACGTTGTGGTAAAAGGGACCTCTAAATAAGGAATGTGAGTCAGAAAGTGTACATTAAAAAAAACAACTCAAACTTTACCCGACAAAGTCAAGGTTGGAAAAGATGAAGGTCTTTTCGGGCTTGAAACCACAGGCAATAATATCTTTAGCATTATCGAAAGCAAATTGATGACACATTTCTACAGTCAAGTTGGCCTTGAACAAGAACTTTTCGTCATCTGTCAATTGAATCACGATAGGTACGTTGAATACATCTTGAAGCCATCTATAAGTCTGTCAGCATCATGCGATATAACAAAAAAAAAAGGGGGCTTACTGGCAGAACACAAAGGGGACCATATGGCCTAAATGCATTGAAGCAGAAGAAGGTCCACGACCGGTGTATAAAAAGAAGGGCTTCTTTTGTTCGAAACGATCCAAAATAACGCCAAGTTCTCTAATTAAAGTGATAAGTATGACAGAACTATTAAAAGATATATCAAATTACCTGTGAGAAAAGAAAGTGCCTCTTCTCAAAAAGATGTGAGGTTTGCGACCAGTTAAAGTCTCGAAACGCTCCAACAAGGCAGCATCAATAGGTCGAGTACCGAATTGGTCAATTAACTTGTTATAATCAATGGCTTGTTGAACGCCATCGACAACAGCTCCCTCGACTTCCCAAGGTGTGACATTTTGCGAGACGGCAGCTACTTCGACGGGAGTACCTTCGAGCTTCAACTCTTCCATTTTGTTTGACAATTCAGCCATGTTTTCCAAAAAAAAAGTTTTTAAACAAGAGAAAAAGAGAAACTGGTACTCCAAAAGGTTTAGATCCCCGTAAATAGGGTGTGGTCCCCCCAAATCTTGACACCTTCACACTGTGGCTTGTTTTTTTAACCCCCCAGGAACAAAAAGCAAAAAAAACAAAAAAATAAATAGAAAGACAGCTCTTTTCAAACCCAATGTCTGCCAATTTACTCTCGTTTGCTAGACAATCTGCCTTAAAATGGGCACAACCTCGTACCTTGTCTGTCGCCGGTAAACGTTACTACAAATTAAGTGTTGGATCTATTAAAAAAGGTCAGATCGTTCAATTAAAGGACAAGGCATGGAAAGTTTTGACAAGAGATCATGTCTCCACCGGTAGAGGTGGTGCTGTTGTTAAGGTACTGAAAAGAAAGAAAGAATTCAAAAGCACTATTAAGCTGAACCGTTATCACAGATGGAATTACAAGATATTTTATCTAACAGCAAAATCAATGAACGTTTCAAGTCCAGTGATACCTTAGAAAGTAAGCAACAGTTTACTTTATATAGCAACGAAGCTAACCTTTTCACTTTATGCTTCTAGTCTTAAATTTAGCTGATGAACCCTATCAATACTTATATACAGAAGGAGAGCAAATTCACTTGTTGAACCTCGAGACATTTGAGGAAATTGAAATGAAGACGAGTCAATGTGAAGGAACTGTCAGCATGTTGGAGGATTCGATGCCTGTATCTGTCTTCTTTCTCACCACACCAGAGCACGGTACACAGCCATGCACTTTTAAATTACCCTCCAACTATACATACACTGTGCAATCGGTCATTGATCGTGCCGGACAAGCAGCTAAAGGTACTGTCTATAAGACAGCTACCCTGACTAATGGTGCCAGATTACAAGTTCCTGAGTTCGTCAACGAAGGTGATAAGATTGTTGTTGATATCGATACCATGAAATACGTGAAGCGTGAATTATAAAATAAACCAATTTTTGTCAAGGCGCATAAAATAGAAAACGATGACGTTTACGGTAAAGCTTTTTTGATTGGATCCCCACGACTCACCGTGAACATGACTTCATAACCAGTTTTTTTTTTTTTTTTTTTTTTACTTTAAAC